CATAAGTATTTTAAATGGTATGTTATGCTAATCTTGAGGAAAATAAACTTTCTTCTTTATGTACCTCCATTACTCATTTATTTCGCCTCAAAACTGTTCAATCAGTTCTGCCCCACCCTGTATAAGCTAGCTAACACATTTGAATTGTATATTGTAATCAATATATAACAAATAGTTAAAGACTACTTATAGCCTTATAAGAATCAGCTAAGCTGCTAGCTACGTACAATTTATTGCACACTTGATGCCTCTGTACCAAAATTATTCAATTTATTGGAACCTAATACACACTAAAGGCAACAAGTTTATATACCAATTTGTCATTCATAGTACATTTATGCTAAACCATGAATAACAATACCTCAATATAAATTAAAGACTGCCACTCAATATATTTAAATACATGAAAAAATAAAAAAAAAAAATAAAAAAATCGAAAAAAATCATGATTTTTTTATAAAAAAATCAAGTGATTTAATCACATGATTTAATCATTGCCAACCCTGCTAAAAAACTCTCTGCTTTGCCACTATGTTGACAAGTCTAACACCATTTTGCATCCTTTTTACAACAGTTCTCTTTAACTTCACTTCTTGTTATTACAACACTTCTCTTTAACTTCACTTCTTGTTATTACAACACTTCTCTTTAACTTCACTTCTTGTTTGTCTGTCTGTCTGTCTGCTACAAATCTTGTAATCAAAATTTAACACACTTCTACTTATCCTATCAATCTGAAATTTTGCATACTTGTTTAAAGTTGGAGACAATGCATGAATCAAATGTCAAAATAAATGATTTTAAAAAGTAATAAAAAATTTTTTTTTTCAATATTAAAAAAATTAAAAAAATAATTTTGTCAGCTACCATAACTGATATTTGACACACTTTTACCTGTCTAATTTATCTGAAATTTTGCACACTTGTGTGAAGTCAGAGGCAATGCATGAATCAATTAATAGAATAAATAATGTTGAAAAAAATTTATATATTGAAAAATTCTAAAATTATTTTTTTTAATATTCAAAAATTGAATGAGAAATTCATGGTACATCTTTAAGATTGGAGACACTGGATTCTTTGGAAGTGTTGTCTTTAAAAAGTAATTTTTAAACGTTTATTATTACAACACTTCTCTTTAACTTCACTTCTTGTTTGTTTGTTTGTCTGTCTGTCTGTCTGCTACAAATCTTGTAATCAAAATTTAACACACTTCTACTTATCCTAAAAATTTATATATTAAAAAAATTGAAAAATTAATTTTTTTAATATTCAAAAATTAAATGGGAAATTCATTGTACATCTGTAAGATTGAAGACACTAGATTCTTGGAAAGTGTTGTCTTTAAAAAGTAATTTTTAAACATATATTTTATTATTACAATACTTCTCTTTAACTTCACTTCTTGTCTGTTTGTTTGTTTGTCTGTCTGTCTGCTACAAATCTTGTAATCAGAATTTAATACACTTCTACTTATCCTATCGATCTGAAATTTTGCACACTTGTGTAAAGTTGGAGACAATGCATGAATAAAATGTCAAAATAAATGATTTTAAAAATTAAAATTTTTTTTTCAAATATTAAATAAAAATTTTGAAAAAATAATTTTGTCAGCTACAAATCTTATAACTGATATTTGACACACTTTTACGTGTCTAATTGATCACAAATTTTGCAAACTTGTGTGAAATCAGAGGCAATGCAGGAACAATTAACAGAATAAATAATTTTGAAAAAAATTTATATATTAAAAAAATTTATATATATTAAAAAATTTGAAAAGTAAATATTTTTAATTTTCAAAAATTAAATGAGAAATTCATGGTCCATCTTTAAGATTGGAGGCACTGGATTCTTTGGAAGTGTTGTCTTTAAAAGTAATTTTTAAACATATATTTTTTAAACATAAATTTTACAACACTTCTCTCCAACTTCATTTCTTGTTTATTACAACACTTCTCTTTAACTTCACTTCTTGTTTGTTTGTCTGTCTGTCTGCTACAAATCTTATAATTGATATTTAATACACTTCTACCTGTCCAATCGATTTGAAGTTTGGCACACTTGCATAAAGTTGGAGACAATGCATGAATCAATTGACAGATTAATGATTTCATAAATTAAAATTTTTTTTACTATTAAAAAAAATTAAAAATAATTTTGTTTGCTACAAATCTTATAATCCATACCTATATGACACAATTGCACAAAGTCAGAGACAATGCATGAATCAGTTGACAGAATAAATAATTTGATAATTTACAAAATTTTGATATCTTAAAAAATTCAGAAAAATAATTTTTTTCAATATTAAAAAATTTTTTTTCGAAAAAGTATATTTTTTTTTAATATTTGAAAATAAAATTAGAAATTCATTGTACATGTGTAACATCCAAGACACTGGATTGTTCAGAAGTGTTGTCTTTAGAAAGTAATTTTTAAATGCATATTATTGGACATCATTATTATGCATTATCTATTCAAATTTCAGAGAGTCAGCCTTTCACTTTCAGGAACTTGAAGACTATGCCTATAGCTTAGCTGTTACAGACTTACAGTGTTACTGAGTACTGACTTAGCCTCTTGACTAGTATATCATGGCTGCAGCTGGCCAGGATTAGATTTTTCCTACTTGTTTCTGGAATCTTGCAGCTTCAACATGACAAATTTTTGATACATTTGGAATCTTGCTGCCCCATCGTGCATTCTTGTTAACAATTATATAAGAGGTAATTCATCTGGCAGAAATCTCACGGTTCTGAAAATGGCTGGAAAGTATAGTCGCGGTTCTAAGGTTGGAAGTTAGAAGTTTTCCATGCTTACCTGAGCTGCCTATGCAGTGCAGAGTTTGGTCTGTGGTTGATGCCTGGATAGTTGTCAACTGTTGAGATTTGGGTTTTAGCCATTAACTTGAGGCTTAAAATTTAGGTAAAAACTGTGCCATTACTTCTGGGTATTGGTTACCTGAACAGAGGCTGAAGATCTAAACTACGGCCCTACGGGTTAGTGGTTACTTCGTAAACTGGCAATGTGGAAAATTAGACAAAGGCTGTTGTGGACTTTCAAAACCTAGTTTAATTTTAGGGTTCACAAATTGTATTTTGAACTCAGAAATGAGGATGTTTGAATAAATCCCTGCATATTGGATCCAAAACATAAGCTGTACATAGCTTTCTCAAATGCAAATATTAGCCTATTACGGACACTGTCTAGTGTATGGAAAGGTGATCACTCTACCAGACTACCAGCAATGCAAACTAATTTGAGCCTATATCTCAAAGCATAAAAAAATTAGCTACATATGATTGGCAACTAAGCTAGTTATCTTGGTTACTACCAGCCTCTTCCTGACTTGAGCAAAAAACTAGCCTCTGCTAATAACTATTAACACCAGCAAAACTTTCATTGTTTAATGAAATTCCTCCCTATAGGAATATTGGTTACCTACTCACATTTGCTTGATGGCTAGGTAAATGCACTAAAAAATAATCAGACAAATACAGTTACATATTTATAATACCTACTATTCATGATACCATATAAAAATGATACAATCATGTGATATTAACTAATTACATTGCAATGCTAATAAATTAGAGCAGTATTATTTATTGTCTTCTATTTAAGTATTATTTAGGTGTCTTCTATTTTACATACGCTGCAATTATTTTACCAGGCATTAATATAGATTGTTTCCTAATAAATGCAGTCTTCAAACGCACAATTGTGAACTCGAATCCATTTTTGAAAATTATGAGAATGAAAGGACCGAATTTCTGGCCTCAAGCAGAGCCATCTCCGTGTATGACAACTCTGACCGCTCGAACTTGTGTCTATGTTACCCATGAGGAGGAGACTGTAAGTCATTCACATGTGCGAGTGCCTGAGATATCGCTGGTGCATGTGCAGCTTCAGCACTGGTGCACCTGCATCCTCAGCACTAGTTTCTATAAAAGTTTCTTTGTTCCTGTTGTTTTTTTATCTCATTGTCTGTGACTTCGTTGCCTGCCATTGAAAGAACTGCATGAAATGAAATGCATTAGCGGAGCGCGAAGCTCAAGTAGCGGAGCGGGAAGAAGGACTGTAACGTAGCCAACAAGACACAGTTGAAGAACTGTCTCAATTTACTTGTTGATGCCAAGAGATTCCCTAACACAAATGTAGATGGTGTTGTGGATGAGATGTGCAACTTTAGAGAGAATCACAACACGGCATGAGGCGATCTTTGAAAACAAGGCAACAGGAGCTAGACACTCTTGAACTGAACATTGAAGAAAAAGTTGATGAAATAGCTGCCATTTGAATGTTAGGGTAGTGGTGTTGAATCGTGTTCTGAACTGTATTGATATTATCATGTGCAATATTGAGTGCATTACTCAATATTTGTTGTGATTTGACACTATTGAATTCATAATAATTAAAGTGTGGGCTTGATTTCCAGATTTGTGTCATTTTTGATCCTCTGTGTCTGCCCACTCTATGCATTTACACGTTTTCTATTTATCAACTGTAGGAGATGATAGAATATGCACGGTTACTCTTTCAGTCATGCTAAACCTGTCTTATGCGACTCCTGGAAAATTATATTGATGATTATGGAGAGTCCTGGAAAAGTCCTGGAATTTTTTTTCTCAATATCGGTACGCACCCTGCTGACCTTAGCAGAGGTACTCTTCAAAAATCTCACTTTTCACACTTTTTTCATGGATTTTTAGAGGTAATAAATGTATGATTTCTCAATTTGCTTTATGCTGCATAGATAGTAAAAATGTTGAACTTTATGACACTATTTTTAGTTTTGCAATATTTTGATTAGTTTAGCTGCTACAACATTCCGACAAAATGTTGGAGGACTGTCCCTTATTATCCCGCCCATCCCTTATTACCCCGTTTGACAGTACTTTGGGAAGCACTTGATTGCAATGCAAAGTCCTTACCAATAAGTGCATGCAGCAATGTTTTTAATAATTGTAAACTGTGTTTATTTTCTTTCAACAGAAAATTACAATGGAAACTTTTAAGATATTTGTTTCAAAGCATTGGTATACATGGACTTTAGTCCTCATTCAGCTCAGTTGGGTTGTCTGCACTGAAGGTTTACAGTCTAAGTTAACAAAGGATGCTGAAGCTGATCTGATCAAGGAGCTGCCTGGTCTCAATTTTCCTGTAAATTATCGTCAATTTAGTGGATTTCTTGATGCTGGCAGCAACACTTTCCTACATTACTGGTGAGTGTTCATCATGCATGATTACCCTAAGCATAGAAAATAAAGGTAGCTCCCATCACATGTATGTTTATTTTGCCATGTACATTTTGCCTGCTTCAAAAAAATGAACATTCATTTTGTGAAACTTATCAAGATATTACCTAGTTGAATTGTATAAATTGTATCATCACCTGTAATTTTGTCTATGCTTGTTATTCTATATGCATTGTTCTCAAACCATTGCAGCAATGCTGTAAATAAGTCCCAAAATCTACAATTTTGTGTTGCTAGGAATTAAATAATATTTTTAATATATGTGCCTTTGGTACAAAAGCTGAAACCTTTTGTACTATCGTCTGTAACTGGTTTAATAGTAATTAATTTTATACTTCTACTTAGGAATAAGCTCCATGGCCCATGCATGGCTAGGCTTGATAAGATTTAATTCTGATGAATTATATCATTGGCCTTGAAGCAAAATAGAATTCATTATTACTACCTATTCTTATTACTCCTTTTTGAAGGAGAGCACTGTAGCATTGCTCAGTTATTTCTAGCTTGTTAGTTCTTGCAGTCACTGCAAGAACCTGATGGTGGACCCACCCAGCACAATTATTTCATTGGCCTCAAAGCAAAATTGAATCTTTTTTTTTAATTAAAGTAATAAATACCATTTATTGTTGTTGTATTGCATCTTTGATCTTTATATTAGGAATAAATTTTCTCAGGTTGCAAGTCATAACTGAAATGGTGAAACATAATATCTGAAGTGATACAGTGTTTACTCATTTATTGTGTATATTTATTTATATACACATTTATTGTGAAACATTGTATCTGAAGCTGTTACAATTGCAGGTTTGTCGAGTCTGAGGCTGACCCAACGACCTCACCACTGCTGCTGTGGCTCAATGGAGGTCCAGGCTGCTCCTCTCTTGATGGATTATTGACTGAGCTTGGCCCTCTCCACATCAATGATGACGGCAAGACTCTCTACAACAACACTTATTCCTGGAATACGGTATGTACTCTAGCTTGGAATAAGTTGTTCTTTTCCATACATCTAGGGAAGGGAATCATGACATAACATTTAAAAATTCTTATTAGACTCCAGTATAAGCTTTTTTATTTAATTTTAAAATTGTTTGTTTTAAGAATTCTAGACACACTAAAAACAACATGACATCTTTTATCAAATGTGTCTCCTTTTTATGCAGGCTGCTGTTATTCACAAGGCAGATACAAAGTATCATAGAGAGATTAAACTTTAGATAATTTTAAAAATCTGTCCTTGTATAAATTTGTTGTGAAGCACCATGATAAATTATTTGAAAACACTTATTCTTGAAAGGTCAAGAATAAATAACTATAAAATTTTTTAGCACACCATTCATGTTAATACATCATATATGATCACTATCATCTTCAAGCTGTGGCTCTGATTGTGTTGTTCTCATTCACTTGTTAGAACATCATCAAGATCTTCAAGCCCTGCTTCTGACTGTGATATCATAGAGTTTGTTCTCATTATTTTCAGTTTGCCAACATTGTTTACATGGAGTCCCCTGCGTGCGTGGGCTTCTCCTACAACACGCAGGGCAATTGCTCGGCTGGTGACGACTCCACCTCCCTGCTCAACTACAATGGCCTTAAGAGTTTCTTCAAGAAGGTCTGCATCTTGTTCTTTAAGCTACTCCCTATACATGATTTGAAATGTTCAAACTAAATACAAAGTCCATTTTAAATCATTCACATAAAAATTTCTTAGTATGTATTTTTTTTGGAAAGAGTTGTTTACTGGTCATGCTTTTATCATCTAACCAAAATAAAAAATCTGACATTTTATTCAATTATTTTATGATGATCCCCTTCTTTTATTCATTACTGTCAACAGTTATGGTTTAGAACACTGAAGTAACTTTGACCGCTTGGATGACTTGGCAAATTGTTGTATGAATTTTTTTCATTTAGTCATTATTTGCATAAGCTTCCTCAATGCTGATTAAAGTCATTCTAGGAAAGAAAGTTACCCTAATACTTGGCAGAGTCGTCCAAAATTACCCTGATACTTGACATAATCGTCCAAAGTTACCTTAATACTTGACAGAGTTGTCCAAAATTTTCCTAATACTTGGCAGAGGCGTCCAAAGTTACCCTAAAACTTGCCAGAGTCATTAAAATACTTGATAAAATCATTCCAATGTCCAATGATGCACTATGTCTCCCAAATGCTCGCCTGCCATCAGAGTTCCTATTCCAATTTAATATCAAACTGCAATCATAAGATCATTGCGTCAATAAAATGATTAAAATACTGACATTTAATTAATTTTCTTTCTTGTATTTACAGGATTTCTTTTTTGTACAAATGGTAATTTTATTTTCAGTTTCCTGAGTACCGCCAGAACCCATTCTACGTGACGGGTGAGAGCTACGGGGGTATCTATGTTCCCACTCTCTCCGTCCGCATCATCGAGAACAACGACTCCTTCCCTCTGAACTTCCGAGGCTTTGCTGTTGGCAACGGCCTCTCCAGCACTGCACACAACGACAACAGCATTATCTTCTTTGCCAACTACCATGGACTGCTCGGGAAAATGTGAATGTTGTTTGTGTGAATACAATATATGTATGTGCTCTCCAACTTTTTTGTGATAGAGTATTAGAGCTAAAATACAGTTGCCTTGTGCCACCAGGCTTCAAAGAAATTAAATTCTATCCAATATTACTTTGTTACGTGTCATTTATGATATTAATATGTAGCTTTTTTTTTATTTAATTTCATCTGTATATGTATCAGTTTTCGACATTTTATTCATATAAGTTGCACATTAAATAAATGTACTGTTTGAATTTAATAGGCTGCTTTGACCATGTGGCTTGAGTGTTGCAACAAATCTCTGCCAGATTATTTTGAGCATGAAACACGCTTGTGGAGTTAGAAATTTTACCTAAAAATTGCCCATTACTTCAATCATGTTTGCTTACTGCTAGGTCTGGAACCAATGCTGTAAATGCATGAATATTAGTAAATTTATTCAAAATCAATGTAGAAGCTAACGTTTTCCGTAATAGTTGCTTTGCTGTAGACCTTGTGCTACTAACTCCTTTTAATAACTACTGTACTGTGTGGAGTGTTCAAACAAATAATGTTTCAGTCTGTGGGACGAGCTCGTGTACCACTGCTGCCAGGGCAACATCCCCTCGCAGGAGACCTGCAACTTTGCTGCGTCTCCCTGGCCCGTCTGCCAGGATAGGGTATGTATAAATATATAAATATTATGTATTTGTATTATAGATAAATATTAGATATTTATATTATATATAAAAATTATATATTCAATTGATTGCGTTCACGCCTTGCCGTGAGAATGCCATATTATATGGCAGGCTTAAATTCATCATGAATGAATTAAGGTTTAAAGTGATTTTTAGTTCAGTGAATATAATTTCTTCACTAATTTACATGCTTGAGAAAATGCCGTGGTGCGGCCGCAAGCACATATCTATTGCGTGATACTGCCTCAGGTTATACGTTTATATCATTAGCTGATTTAAATTTCTATTCTCATTCATTAGAAGTATTTTTGATTAAAAATTTGGCGCAACGTATTTCTGGTAATTTGATAACCCTGCCGTAAAATGTAAATGTAACATTTTTTAGTAACTAAAACAAATTACCTACTTTAATATGCTATTCTCGTGCCTTTTTCTAACAAAACAAGTAAGTGATTATAATAGCTCGCATAAATTTTTCCAAACGCATTGATGGATTACTGCTCTAACACTGCTTGAAATCCCCTACACATCCGTCATTTGTGTGCCTGTCACCACAGGTTGCTAGGGCATCCGACATAGTGTATGACAGCGGCCTGAACATGTACAACTTGTATGACAACTGCGCGCCTCCATCCAACTCCAACAGCCTGGGTGTTACATTCTCACGTTACCACGCCGACCACCTCAACCTACACCGCAACAACCACATGCTTGCCAGGTAATTTTACAGTCCTGCTACTAGTTCGCTTCTGAACAGGTGATAAATTTCAATTATAACTAAGTGGTTGAGTTTCATGGTGTTCCTTAACTTATAAAATTACTACATCGCAATTTGAGGCATCCTGATCTTATATAGATGATAATTTTAATGAGAGTAGATATCTAGAATTAAGGTGGAATGAATCACTTTCCAATCATTCATAAATGACCATAAACCATTAAGCATAAACACCATGTATTCGCCACATACCATCAACTTATGCTAAATATTTGCTGTTAATGATTAATTCTAGTTACGTTTCATTTTACTTGATGTGCTAATTATGGGAAACGGATATTTATTTATAGTTCCTGTTTGAATTTAATGGTGGCCTGCTGGTACCAGGTTGGTGGCTTGGGCCAACTGTTGAAAATACATATCAGATTTTCTTACGCTAGCCATTTTGGTTTGATAAAGAATGCTCACTAAACAAAATCTCTTTCTTGACCGGAAAGCAGTGCATTACATCAGATGGGCCCTCACATACCAAAGTTTCAGAAATGTAGGGCGATGTGACAGCCCAACATTATCTGACAAATGTCTCATTTACCAAGCAATCAATAAAATTATTTGTATTCAAATAAATGAACGTCAAAATTTAGTTTTCCTTCTAAAATTTTTGAAATTATTTTATTTTATCAATGAAGTGTTAGAGTTGGCGTTGTAAGGCAAGCGCTAAAATGGTTTAGTTATTGTATTGTGAGTTAGTTACTTAGTGTTGCTAAAGGTTCAAGTCGCATTTGTTTTAAACCAATTTTCTGTTGAAAAGTTTTCATACACGTTAAACATTCCTAATTATCATCATTGCACGAAATTATCTGATTTAAATTGTTTTATTCCCTAAAAAATAAACTAAATTGAACATATGTAAATATGAACATATGTTATTTGTTAATTCTTCCCTGTATATCCAATCGGTTAATAGATTTAATTAATTAATTTAATCGATTATGTTTTTATCCCTGACTGTATTCTCAATTGATTAGTGGTCTTTTAATTAATTAATTAATATCGGTTAGTAATGTTTTAATTAAGTAATTTGATTGATGATTATTAATTAATTAAATTGCTGATTATTAATCAATATTGGTTAGTAATGTTTCTACTAATTAATTAATTGATGGCTATTAAATAATAATAATAATGAAAGTTTTATTACAGTCACCGCAAGAACGCGACGCTGGACCCGCCCTGCACCAACTCCCACGCCATGACAGACTACCTCAACAACCCCGACGTCAGAGCTGCTCTGCACATCCCTGACTTTGTTCAGAACTGGGAGATCTGCAATGATGAGGTCTGGGTTTATTTATTATACTCAATTAGATAGACTTATTTAATGAGAAAACTTTATTAAGAAGTCGCCTGCAAATGTGCTAATCACTTGGATTCTAACTTCAACAATCCATTTCCCTTAGTTGTCAGCCATAAAATCCTGAGCTATTTATTTCCAAATGCTCTTTTTTTGCTTTTAATCCGCATTAGGATTTTATTCATTTTTTTTATTTAAGCTAAGACGTTTTTGTATCCCTTCATGTATATAGTGGTAGAAGACAGAAAGATACAATTGGTTAAGCTTCGGTTTTCTAATTCCTTGATCCAAGTAACTGTCTATACTAGTTGCGTTGATGGATTATAGTCATTGATGATTAGCAAAATAGTATTGTGATTATTTACTATTGGTCTCTTACTTATCGACAATCTTCATTACTTACCTGCCTCGTAAAGAAATTGTTCTTACGATTGTTCTCTGTAATTTAAATGCATGTCTCGGGTGATCTTAAATCATTGTGTCATGATCATTGTGTCATGTCCTCGAACATTTATTTGCATGTTTCAGGTGATTTTTCTTCATTACGTCATCAAATAATAATTTTTCTAATCTATCACGTCATCAAATGATAATTTTTGTAATCTATCACGTCATCAAACGATAATATTTCTTATCTATCACGTCATCAAATGATAATTTTTATTATCTATTACGTCATCAAATGATAATTTTTGTAATCTATCACGTCATCAAACGATAATATTTCTTATCTATCACGTCATCAAATGATAATTTTTATTATCTATTACGTCATCAAATGATAATTTTTAATATATCACGTTATCAAATGATAATTTTCTAATCTATTATACCATCAAATGATAATTTTTCTAATCTATTACGTTGATAATTTTTATCATCTATTACGTCATCAAATGATTATTTTTCTAATTATCACGTCATCAAATATAATTTTTCTAATTTATCACGTCGTCAATTGATAATTTTTCTAATCTATCATGATAATTTATATAATAATTTATAATCTCTCTATATTTATAACCTATCTATGGATAATTTATATAATCTATCATGATAATCTGTATGACCAGGTTAACGCGGGTTTCAAGCGTGTGTACGACAGCATGGAGGCGCAGTACAAGAAGCTACAGGCGGCGGGGGTGCGGGCGCTCGTCTACAACGGTGACGTGGACATGGCCTGTAACTTCATAGGTGATCAGTGGTTCGTGGAGGGACTCAACTACAAGGTAATTATCTACACAATTACTTAATTGCTTAATTGTAGGTAGTCGCAATTAAGTGTTCTGATTTTTTATAATTATGCTCGTTATTTAAATAATATTATTTAATTGTATTTTGCATTGATTGACTGTATAATTAACCACCGAATTAATTAGTTGTTATTGATAATTGATTGTATTGCATGCACTTGAACAGTTTAACGGATAGTGAGCCTTCGTTCGGTTGTCGGCGTAATGAATAATTCTAGGCCATGTAACATAGCAATAAGTTAGGTGAACCATATTATGAATAAATACATTCAAAGAATTCCTTTCAATAAATCCCCGGACCAATTCAATGAAATCATAAATAATTATATGAAAACGAAACCTTGAGTGACCTCCTTGAGTGACTCATATCGTTAAAAAAATGTGAATTATTCAGTATTTGTGTTTGTTTCAAATTAATGAGTGATATATACAGTATTATTGAGTGATATTTACGCTGCGCAGGAGACGGCAACGCGGCGCCCCTGGACGTCAGGCGGACAAGTGGGAGGCTTCGTGAAGCGCTTTGAGCTGCTGGACCTCGTCACCGTGCGGGGCTCGGGCCACATGGTGCCTCAGGACAAGCCTGGGCCTGCCCTACAAATGATCAGGGCCTTTGTCCTCGGAGATAATTACTAAAGGGGAAACTATAACAGCAACAGGACAAATGGTCCAAAAAGGCCAAATTGTTCAGGCAACCAGGGCAAAATGTTAAAAAAAGCAAAATTTTTCAATCAACCTGAACAAAGTGGTAAAAAAGGCCGAATTTTTCAAGCAACCTGGAAAAAATGGTCAAAAACCAAGGAGGACATAGCACTAGAAACCAGGGACAACCTGGTCCCGCCCTACACATGATCACGATTCGTCCTTGGCCAAAATTATTAATATCTAATGCCTGATTACCCGTGCGGCCGTTAATGAAAACAAACTTTCTTTCCTGAAGATGTTAAATGCTCCGGTTAAATTAGAATAATTCGTAACCGGTACTATCACTAACCATTTTACGCGAACCATCTCTTTAGTGCCAAAATAAATTCTCATCATCGATCAGAAATGCTCAATCTATTAGCGTATAACTTATATTATAAAATAAATTTCTTATATCAAAGTAGAATAGATTATATGTACCGACTTGTTGTTGTTGTTGTTGTAATTGCCCATCCTGGCAGTGGCGACTAGGGAGGGGGGGTGATAGATCAGTTTTTCCGGGCACTCGGTGCCACTGGTAGTTCTACGACCATCACTGGCTCGCTGACCCGCCAGAACCATTTGGTTGCATTACACAACACCCTGGACAAGCCAGGTACTCATTTATCAACCAGAGTTATGAATGACTAAGTTGACCATGAGCTGAGCTTCCCGGTAGAACTTGTCCTCAGTGGGACTCGAACCCGGGGACGCAACACACAGTGGGACACAGTGGGATGCACCACACAGCTCTACCACCGACTTGTTGTTTGTCTAAGCTGCTCCTAAAATGATTGTCACAAACCAAGGACACTTACTTCCTTCGGTTTGTTCATTCATCATTTCTGTTTAATAATAGGAAAGAGAAATTTTTAGCTAACTAATTTGCCAGCTGTGCACTTTCTTGGCATTGCATGTTCGATGAAATTTCCGCTCCGACGTTGTGTCGTGTATGCTGAATTTCTCACTGCTCCTAATTTTTAGTATAAAGTTAATTTGTGGTAAGTTAGGATTGAACCTCGGTTTTTCTCGCTTGTGTTTATTGCTCAATGTGAACGTTACAGAAGTTTGATATTATCAAAAATTCTCAGCTCATTTTACCAAGCTTGTTTATGCTTAGTCCTTTGTGACGTGAACGAATCTCTATCTTTTTACAGGAAACCTTTATGAAATAATAACTTCGTAAGGTGAACACTGTATTTTTCAAATGCACTGAATATTTTTAATAGACCCAAAAATACTTTACGTAAATTAGCAATTCATGAAGATTCAAAAAACGTGATCGCAACGAGAAGGAATCGCTGTCCAGTGAACCTTTCAGCTGACGCTCATAGATATTTTTCATAGATATTTTTTACAATGGTTATGAAAGTTATTTTTAAAGAATTTCGTGTAGCATCTGTCAGGGTTACTAAATTATTTATTAAGTTGGTGGAAAATACATCAGGTGTAAACATGTAATGGCAGTAGCATTAAGACTGTATTTTTTTAAATTTATATTGCCAATATATTCAGAATTTAAAAAGCCTATCTGCGTAGTTTTATTGTGTCAGTAACGATGTTGCTGGAGGTGTCACAAGGTAATGTATCTAAAGCTTCGTCGTGCATGTTGCTCGCCATGTTAATGAAGTTGTGATATTCTGTGCCTTCTCAAATAGCTATTTAAGAATTTATACATCAATTTCTACTTCTTACACATATATTCCTACTTATTGGACTCGTTTGTGTATCAAATCCGTTGGAATTGACTTTTTCGCAATGAGTGCATTAGTATATCATGATTATGAGCTAACTTCAAAAACATATTTCATCGTATCTTACTGCTCAACAAATTGCATTGTCAAAAACCTGCAAAAACGTTTCATTTTTAGCTCCTGAAATTTTTTTAATTAGCTATACACTTTTTCTGTCGCCTGATTTTCTATAATCCTTTAGCATAATTATTGCGTAATGATGAACGGTGAAATATATCCAACGAATCAAAACTTGGCTTATTCTTTTATTAGCATTTGTGTAATAGATAATAATTTGATAGTTTGGTTGTATATAGCGTTTCACGTTTCACTAATTAGTGGATTATATCATCCATGTCTCTCATACATTGTATGCTAGAGATAAGGATTGACACTCAAATTTCCCCCTAGTTTCTTTCAATTGTCCATGCACGCAATGATGACTAATGCGACCTATTATTTAGGTGGGAATAATTTGTATGGTCACAGAAAACCTCAGGGAGGATGCTGAAGTTGTCCTGCTTTCATTTTTATTTCACATACATTAAACACTCAACTATGTTCGTGTATGTGAAGTGAATTATAATGTGCTGCAGTATTATTGACTTTATTTCCAGTAAATGACTTGATGTTTTTTCAATTAACAGCGAAAGTATTCTTCTAAGGTTAGACTATTATTAATCTTATCAGCTATCAAAACTAAACATCGCTATCAAATTCCTTTAATTGTAAAATGCCCATTCAGTCCAACAAATATTCTTTTAGGATGAGCTTAAGAAGTTCAGCAGAATATTTGTTGAACTCGTTTTAAAATTTACTTCCATTCACTTAGTCCTAAGCAGCCACTGCTGCCAACTTCAGCATCGGAGGGGTCGGCGCCCCCTGGGTTCCCAAGCCAATAATTATGATGGACAAATTTTACCATAAATTATAAAAATTCTCAGCTTATTCTTATTATTCAGTGTTCGCTCGAAGATGATTGAAGTTGAAATTATTGAAACGTCTCAATTTTCTGGATGAACTGGTAGAATAAATAGAATAAAAAATGTTAGGTACACCATTTTTATTGCTAAAAATTTCGGATTTACTTGAAGGCCTTTGCTGTCGAACTCAGTTGTGCAAAAATATTCACGGAAGATTCGTAATTCATGCTAAATCTTTACAAAATTCCATTTTAGGTTTACTTTTTCTAAAACTCAAAGATTTTACTAGAATATACTCAACGTTTCAAACTTTTGAAACACTTCAATGCGTTCTCACATAATCGGCTGTTCAACAGCCTTGCAACCATCGGCATCGAGTTGGTGCTTAAGTTACGAGCTTAGGATTGGATTTATATATTATTCCCATACATTTATTTTTATGATATTTAGGTATAAATAGTATTTAAGTGGTTTTTACATCAGAACAGTGATATTTGAGAGTATTGGTGAGCAGCGCGTTTGGAGGTTGAAAAAATATGATCTTTCCGAAGACCGCGTATGGTACAATTACGTGCTCTGCCGCGCATTGAAATAATTGTTTGGGAACGACGTTAATGCGTCACAAGCATCATGCAATTTCTTTTTAACTTATTGATTGAGAATTTATTAATTACATTTATAATTATACAATGTTAGATCTCACATTTCTGCTATCATGCTTTTTTCAAGTAGCTCGACTGGGCTTCGCATCCTTAAATTTCCCTTACAATATTTATCCTAATTTCATTCAGTAATCGTGCTAACTCACTGCTACATCGTTTTATCATTATCCTCTTTACTAACATTTTCAGTTTTAAAACATGCCTCAAAGCTTCGATTATTTAATATAAATCAATAGAATATACGTGGAGTTATTGACATTGTGAGAAGTGTTGGCAATGGAGGCGGTAGAGGAAGAGTTCCTGGCAGAGCGGGAACACGTACAGATTATACCTAACTTCTCGCACGACAAACTCTACCTCATTGCCGGCGACGTCGGTCCTTTCGTTGCAGGTTTGTTGCTTAACGTTTCTCGAACCATCTTAAAGTACCTGCAATTATTAATACATTCTACATGTTTTCGTATAAACATGGCGTCAGTTTCAAGATTCTTATTTACGTGTCAGACGCAGACGTGACGAAGCAATTTCCTCTCATTGCATATATCAATATCGTATAGGTATTATATATCTCTGGTCTATCTGGAACCACGATAGTCATAAAACTCTTGACAGTCATAATACTAAAAAAAACTTGTTTCATAATAATGATATTAACTCTAATACGTCACACATTTTCTTTCATTCTCATGAAGAGAAAACTGCTTTTAACTTCCTTCATTTCATAAAGAAGTTAGAATTGCGCTATTACATCCGCCATGAAAACGCCTTCATTCAACTTGATAATTGTGCATCATCTTCCACTGCAATCCATCTCTTCTTTCTCTTTAGGGTATTGTTAATCGGCAATTTGTGACGTTGGCTCTGCTATTTCAATTATATATGAAAAATAAAGTCAGTGGCGTTAGCTCTGGTATTTCAATTTTATATGAATAATAGAGTTTGTGGCGTTGGCTCAAGTATGACAATTATATACGAATAATAAAGTTTGTGTCTTAGGCTCAGGCATGGCGATTATAAATGAATAAAAACGCATAGGTATAGCGTTGGCTAGTGACAGGAGGCATCCTGTAGTCTATAAGAATCGCACATGAATAATAAGTTATGTTGCATGTGGGTGCAGGCATCCCGTGCTCGGTGCCACTGTGGCTCGCCGTCAACCTGCGGCAACGCGGCAAGTGTCGCCTGCTGCCGCCCGCCTGGATGGAGGCCGAGGCTCTGGCCGCCAAGAAGGAGGAGGAGATGCAGACCAAGGTGATGATGGTCATTGTGTGCAGACCAAGGTGATGATGGTCATCATTATGTGCAGACCAAGGTGATGATGGTCATCATTATGTGCAGACCAAGGTGATGATGGTCATCATTATGTGCAGACCAAGGTGATGATGGTCATCATTGTGTGCCGACTAAGATGATTTCTATGGCTATGCTTTAATTTTTCTCTCGGTGATTGTTGAATGGTGCGCTACTGTTCTTTCCAAGATGAATAGTTGATTTTAGTAAGTAGGTCCTTGTATCGAATCAGCTTGGGCCGAGTCGAGCCACAATTTTATTTTGAACGCATCTGACATTGCAAATCAGGAATAAAAATTAGTTAACCCTCCAATCTCCCACCATCTGCCAATCTCTAATCATCTATCTCTGCCATGCCCAGGAATTAAAATATGAGCATTTGAATGAAAGCTTTTACTAAGATGATGAAATTGGACGCTCTTTCCGCAATTTTTTAAAAGTCGGAAGAAGCAATATCAATTTAATTAATTTGAAATAGGTTAAGAAAATATAGTCAAATTGCAGATCGATAATTTCCCTTTGCATTTGAAATAATAAATTATAATAAATCAATTTATTTCAGCGTGGTAACCGCTTTGTATGAAATTTTAAACGGCTATTTACCGCACATCATACAAAAATTACAAAAATTCATACGGGTCAATTAATCTTATAATTCTTTGTACTTTCTCGTAGTCGCTCCATAAATTCAAATTTCTGATTATTTCTATGCTTGCCCGCGAGAAGGTTAATATTGAAACCATTTCAATAGGTGTTAGTTGAGCTCAAAAATTTTGTAGCCCTTATCGTTGATTTCTCTTTTTTTGCATCTCATTTTTAGCTTTGATTTCCATTCTAATTTCCGCTATGGTAAAAACCTTCAATCATTAAAATAGAGGCACTCTCTCCAAATACTGATGCACTTTCTCTTTTTGTGTGGGCCACACTTACCCTGTTCCGTCTGACAAAAGCGCGTTTCGTTGATACGTGCAGGAAGCGTGTCACTAATTGGACAAACTGACCCATTCCCTGTAGGCAGTGCAGAAGGATACAGATAACATACGTGTAGGAGGATTCATTTACTATAGATACTAAAGAGGATACCAAGGATTCCTTCTTCTGAGTCTATGGTTCCATGGAATAAAATGTTCGCGCTCATGTCAGGTTTTCACGAAGATGGGAAGCGAGAACTACATGGCCGTTGCTCAGCTGCTGCTCACCACCGCTCCACATGACGTGCCTAATGCTCATCTCGTCCGTACGCTCATCAAGGTGAGCACGCGATGCTCATCTACCCGACATTGTGTCGGGTAGATGATGCTCGTATATATAAGACATCGTGCCGAGTGGACGATACTCGTCTACTCGACATTGTGTCGGGTAGATGATGCTCGTATACCCGACATTGTGCCGGGTAGACGATGCTCGTATATATAACGACATTGTGTCGGGTAGATGATGCTCGTATATATAAGACATCGTGCCGAGTGGACGATACTCGTCTACTCGACATTGTGTCGGGTAGATGATGCTCGTATACCCGACATTGTGCCGGGTAGACGATGCTCGTATATATAAGACATCGTGCCGAGTGGACGATACTCATCTACCTGATATTGTTCCGGGTAGATGATGCTCGTATAGCCGACATTGTGCCGAGTAGACGATGCTCAACTACCCGACTAGAGAATCGAAATTTTCGCTTTGTTTTTTTCGTTGCATTTGCTCCCAACACTCAGCCAGTTTTAACTAACCAGGAATGGACTGCATTAATTTGAATGGTGCCGCGCCACAGGATATATGGGACCTGAGGATAGCGAAGCTGCGGTCGTCTGTGGCAGAGTTCATCAAGCAGTCCGGCAGACACGCTCGCCTGCACCACCTCACGCCCATGGAGCTGCACTCCGTCAGGTGATGCGTCCGCTCCGGACACAGAATTATGATTATTCTTACTCGATTATTCTTACTAGCAATTGTTAAGTAATCGTGTTAATTTCAGGGCATGGTCTATTACTAGGATTATAATCATTCAGATGGTAAACCTAATAACTTCGGTATATGGTCTTATAATTAAGTATTATAATTATTGTGGTCTATTCACAGAATTATAATCATTCATACGTACGTTAAAGTTAAGTTCGGTGTATGATCTATTCGTTGGATTATAACTATTGATGTGTTGAACTTTAATAATAATGTGAAAGCATGGTCTATTCATGAATTTATAATTTTGTATATGTTAGCTTAAATAATAACTTCAGGTCATAGTCTGTTCATAAATTCGTTGTTTAGGCTCTGGGAAAGTTTCTATTTTGGCTATTAAGTTGTTCATCTCTGTGCAAAATTCAATACCTATATGTATTATTGAACTTTTTAAAGGTTAATAACTTTAATTTTGCTAACAGGTATTCAAGTTAGCTTTTTAACACTTACCTTCAAATGTTTTGACAACCATTGATGTTATTAGGACTCGTTATGATTATCTGCTTTAACTATCCACTTGGTGTTTGCTCTTTACTCGTTATATTATCAAGTGCTTCTAACCTCTTATTTATCTTCTTCCTTATTCTCGACAGCAAATATCTTCATTATATGAATAAAATGTATAAAAAAAATTTTTAAAGACCACGTTTTTCATGTGGACTCAAAAGTAGAAAATAATTTTTCGGCAGCTACTGATGTCTGTTTGCTTTCATTCTCTTGGTCTTTTGTATTTCAGTTAAAATATTTTACAACATCTAAAACGAAAAACGTGGGGCGCATATGTATTTAATTGTTTGGTGATTACTTGATATGATGAATATGATGGTTCATTGAACATTTGATAAGTGTATTGCTGATATAATTAGAAATAGTGGTTGAATTAAAAATTGAAATTAAGGCATGCCTAAATGAAGATGCGCCCCACGTTTTTCGTTTTAGATGTTGTAAAATATTTTAACTGAAATACAAAAGACCAAGAGAATGAAAACAAACAGAGATCAGTAGCTGCCGAAAAATTATTTTCTACTTTTGAGTCCACATGAAAAACGTGGTCTTTAAAAATTTTTTTTATACATTTTATTTTCTACTTTTTAGTTTTTCAAGTATTTTATTTTCTCATTTTTAGTCCGTTGCTACACACGAAACACGTTGTTGCGAGCCAATTTACTTGACTTGATGTACGTATCGATGATACGAAGCGTATCATCGATATACGCAGTCTAAACACGAATATCCTCTCGAGGATGACGTGCATTAAAGGTTCCAACCCCTGCTTGTGAGTTCCTTTAGAGTTTATACGCCTGGAAACGTGCAACAAATTATTATTATTGTATTGTTATCGGGAGCGGAGCTTCCCTAAAAGTTTCAGAGCGCTAGCTAATGGGAAAGTTGGTGAAATATCGATTGCAAGATTTGATCATCACAGACACGAAAGCGAGCTAAGAAAAACGTGGTAATAAATTCTATCAATATTTTATTACCGGTATATTACCAATGCGTTTATTTAAATAAATGATAAGTAACATAATAAATGATCGTGACCATAATTCTCTTCTATCAATATTTCATTATATTGCCATTGCGTTTATTGATATAAATGATGAGTAACATAATAAATGATCGTGACCATAATTCCGCAGACCCATCCTGCCGTCGGCGCTGGACCAACTCCTCCGGCTGGGGGCGGCGGCGTCAGGCGCCCACAACGTCTCCCTCAACGACTCCTCCATGGCGTGATCACTCTAATGCCTTCCAAATAATTATAGCTCATATTTTATGTACGGTTGAAGGTGTACGCAGTTTAAACACTCTAATGTCATCACATCAATTATAGCTCATTTATTTTATTTTAGGTCATGTCCTACGGATAGGCAGTTAAGCAAAGTATACATGTCATGTTTAGTGAAAGAATAAAGTCTATTACAGCTCCATTGAAATTCTTTCATGTTAGATCCAACATGAAATTTTTTTGTGAATTTCATGAATGTCCTGATGAACACGAAAGATGCGTCTCTGTAATAGCAGCTATTCACTTTTTAACTTACGGGACGACTTGAACGTTGTTCCGTACGGAATTAATGTATTAGAATTAATGTTTTGGAATTATTGTTAGGTTTTATTAAGACCGGTTGTGCGTGGCTTCTCAAGACTAAGAATCTCTGTCGGTACTTTGTAATGAGTCTAAAAAATCCGCCTTTCCCAGATTTTAGATAAACAGTTGATAATGTGAAGCAAAATATACGTAATTTTCTCATTAATTTTTACTAATGTATGGCAAGTCAATTTTTAAAATTTCTAGTTCATCATTGCTACGAAGGATAATGATGTGGGATAGAGCCATGATGAACTTATATTTTGAGTCCAACTCACGATATATCAATAATATTTGTTTTCGATAATTCACTATGTGATAATTCACTATGTGATTCAAGAAAATTGCCATGTTGCTTGATAATCACAAATAGTTTAAAAATTAGTCTTTTGGATTTACTCAAATTCATATGTTTGCCCAGGTTTTTTTCAGTAAAGCGATCCCCTCACACTATGCTGTTGGGTAAAATAAGATTTAGATGACGGAAAAACAAAATCTCCATAGAAGTTTTTTATTCGGAATGACCGTGTGCGGTTTTTCTAGCCGTCACAGTAAAGCTCGGGCCTGTAAATATAAAATTCCAAACGTGTATCAGTATCATAGCTTAGGTCGTTTGAAATACAGTATGTAGTCAATATTTGTTTTTTGAAAGGGAATTAATAATTTAACGTGTGTGGGATCATTTATTACAGTTTTCAAATTTCAAACGCTTTGAATTCTTGTTTAACAGAAATATTAACGATCTAGTGGTGCAAATCTGATGGCATTGACTGAGAAATATCTTTATTTCACCTCCGAAAAATGACATTACGCTATTTTTGTAATTTTTTATGGCTCGAAAAGTACGTGTTAATCTTTAATGAAAATATTAATATACGCGGAAGGCTTGAATAAAACATAAATGAACTCCTTTGCTGCTACGAACAATGTTCTTTTCCTAACACGTCGGAATATTTTCAGTACCGCTTGATATTATTATCATTTTTTGTATCAATAATTATTATTATAATTAATTATAATTCTAAGATTCTGTAATAGTTCATCCCAGTTACTTGCTGATAAGGAACTGCTTCAGTTCTCCTTACGGTCTAAAAATTATCTGGTGAGTTCTATGCAATTGTCCATTTTGACGTTCAATTTAAAGCAATTTAATTACAATTGGATTAAATTGCATTTAAATTGAATTGAATTTAAGCCTCTTGTAAAAGACTTGATAATTATTAAAATTTGTGTATCAAAGTATCGCAAAAAAATTCAACTGAAAAAGTCTTAGAAGTATCGGCATTGAAAAAAGGCCCATGGCTTCTTAGTTCAAAGTTTTTTGCGGTCAACAAAAATCTTTATTCAGGGAATTTAATGTTCACAGGTTATGAGCGTAATATTCCAGTTTATTATCTCTTTTCAAGATAGTGGGTCGATCCTCGCTATCAGTTTTTTCTATACTTTAAAATATTGAGTATTTAGCTTGAACACTGAACGGTGATTGGCTGACAGAGTCATGACGTTGACTAAGTACGTCTGTCTGTTGCGGTGGCCCACATGGCTGTCGTCCGGCCTGTCTTCAACAATTCTGCGGGACCAAAAACAACACTTTCTTTTATATTATTCACATACATTCAAAATTACGCTCTAATTTTTGCATTTTTTATGAATCTTTACCTGAAAGATACTATGAATCTTATCTTTCAACAAAGTTTTCATATAAATTTTTGCGATTAAATGTTTAAAAACTTTTTTACTATTGATAAAATCAGACTATAAATGAACATGCAGTATATAAACCTGGCGAGAGTCATTATTTAAAATCATAAATATATTTGCTCAAAGGCTTTCACGTTAGGCCCAACGGCCACGTGGCTTGAGATTTATCGACATGAATAAATGATTGTTTATTACGTAAAATATTTGGAAAATGTCAAATAATTTGCAAAGAAAACAAAACTTAGAGGTTTTTTGTTAGTAAACTCACCCTGACGTCGAGCTGCTCACCAGACGTCGCCAGACATGCCGGCAATAAAATGCGTTAGCGTCTAAATTGTGCATTATTATTATTTTAGATAATAATCAATAATAATGCAAAATTTATTATTTATGCATTATTAATCATTATCAGCGTCTAAATTAAATTATTTAGGTAGGAACGAGGTATGATCATAAATAAAGCAATTTGCAACTTTATCTGATCCGAATATATACGTATTAACGAGATATACTGTACACTGAGCAAAACACAGTTATTGGCCTTTGAAGCAATTGCTTGCGAATTATTTTTATATTGTATCCTTATATAAAGTACAGTGAACTAGGGCTTGTTCAATATTAATATCATTTCATAGACAAAAAGTCTCTTCTGAGTTACTGGTTCTCATGCTAGTAAGTATCGTCGAAGTTGATTATTTTATATGTTCCATCGAATAACAAAATTTTCATTCATATATACTTCATAATCTTGACCGTGACCAGCGCCGCTAATCCGTTATTTACTCTCAAAGAAATAAGGTGACTTTCTCCAAACAGAGATGCCTTTTTAGCGCATTTTCTCATTTATGGAAAAAATGCACTATTGTGCTCGCCATGTCCGTCCGTCCGTCCGTCCGTCTGTCCGTGACCTCAAGTTTTCGTCGACGAGAAAATGCGCTCTCTGTCACTCACTGCAGTGAGTACTGAGTTACCTTTTTTGCTCTAGTGTTGGTCATCCTTGCCTAGTTGATAAGGGCGGACTTGCAGATAGTGTGTCACTATTTGTACAACACGACCCATACATTGTATCGAGTGCATCAATGATCTTTGAATGGTATTTTCGCCATGCAGCTTATTCTTTATTACTGACACAATTTCTTTTGGAGCTACAAAAAAAAATATTTACCGTATCATAAACCACAAATACGATTATTTATTTTACTACGAACTAAAATGATGGTCTTTTCCCACGAAAATTATGGTATTTCCATTTTTTATACGCGCCAAACGCACAGGATCTTTTCAATTAATTAATACTTTTCTTAATTAATTTTTTCAGAAATGAGGCTTGTTTAGAATAAAATTTAAGCTTCTTCCATACGATTTTGGATAATTTTAGCGAAATAATATACTGTATATTACTTGTCTTGCTTCCTGCGCGTATAAGTATCCGGTAGTATACATAAATTTGAAGCAATATTTAAAATATTGCTATTAATATATATATTTGAAACAATACATTAAATGCAATAATATCCTAAGGCTTCATGCATCGATGGACTCACCTGGCACATCTGATCAGCAGTGGCAGGCGTCAACAGAAGAGAAAGTGTGAGTTACATTTAATTATGAAATATAACTACCATCTAATTATAATCACTATACTCACTGTTACTATACTAGTATATAAAATATATTAATTATTAAATATAACTACCATCTAACTATAATCACTATACTCACTATTACTATATTAGTATATAAAAGAAATTAATTATGAAATATAACTACCATCTAACTATAATCACTTTACTCACTGTTACTCTACTAGTATACAAAAGATATTACTTATGAAATATAAATGCCATCTAACTATAATCACTATACTCACTGTTACTATACTAGTATATAAAAACATTTTTGTCACTTGCAGTGACTAAGCCTTCCATGAAAACTAGATTATCAGTAATGAAATTAATATTTTATTTTATGATTTCGTTGACATTGTTTGCAGCGTCATTATAACCTTATGTTCGGCTGGACAATTTGGTACAGCGGAGGATTCATAATTTAGACTATTTTTCCGTTCTCATTAAAACCATCCGTGCACCTAAAAAAATTCCACCCTAAGTTGGGAACGAACTTGCGATTGCAATGAAAAATAAAAATAAAAGCTTATGAGAAGATTAAGACATGTTAATTTTTGTTTCTGTTATTGAAGTCGACTTTTCGATAACCAAAGGCTATGTTTGAGTTTAACACTGGTAAAAAGTGGGAAATCAAATATTCGAAAGCTTATTCCCAATTGCAATATTCGGTATGACATTTTCATTTATGGTTTCGTCTTCTCATTCCAGATTTCCAGAGAAGCCATATAACAGTTCTTAATGATAATGTATAATTTTTCCAGAATATATCATATATTAGTAAGATTTCAGTCATTAAATGTATTTTTAAAATTGAAAAATAACATTTGACTCACCAACTATCAGTCGAGCGGCATGAGGGATATTAGAAATATTATTAATTACTTTCAACGCGTTCTTCATATATTTAGGACCGATCAGTCACACCAAAATACTTATCATGAGTGGGATATCTTGAAATACTTGAGAACTTTGGGATACACCGGATAATTATGAATAATTATACACCGGATACACCGGAATTATATTATAATAATTATAACATAATATAAAAAATTATTTACACCAGAATACTAATGAAGGAAGGGATACATCGACTCATTTATAAATTATCACATGCAAATAATCACAGAAATTGTGGTATAAGACTAACACTTTCGTGTGAATCTAGAACTTGTTGAAAAGCAGTGCCCTCAATTCCGTTGCATTTCCCCCTTATTTTCACTCCTCTAATCATACCCTAAGTATGTCAAATATGACACAATATAAGTTTCAAGAGACTAAAGTATGTACGAAATTCTTGCTTAATTGCCCTATTTTCTGTATATTTGTTCTTCCCGTCTAAATAATTCTTCCTGACATACAAATTTCCGGGTTTTCTAGTTTAGCATTTTTACTCCATTTTAGTGTAAATTTCTCTTAATATTTTAATTTTTTCTTTTCAAGATTTTTACGAACTTGTTCAGTGAAACTTCAAAGTGTTTTCACTATCATCTGAAAGTGTTTTCACTGACACTTTCACCTGAAAGTGTTTTCACTAACACTTTCACATGAAAGTGTTTTCACTTACAGTTTCGCCTAAAAGTGTGAGCAACAAAGTAAGTAACTTTTTGACCAAGCCTATCGCCCAGTATGAAATATTTTTATGTACGTCATCACTAATGAAGAACAAGGCATTAAAGTCTGCCACGGAAGTACATGCCCCGAAACGTCATAAATTTTATGATTTCTAGAGAACTATTATATTGAACTTATTTTCATGGTGTAGTGGATAACGACATTTTTAAAATAAGCTTAACGAAGAATGATGTGACAAAAACATAATCAATTGTAGGCGTGTAACTATGGAGAAAGCTATTTCACACACAACTCGTTTCTGCAATATTTGAAATAGTTTTAGCCATCAGTATATATATCAAATTCTATGTTGTTGCAAAATTTTATAATTTCCATCAAGGCAACTTTTTAACTGTACCCAGGGATGAGCGAAAATTTTTCGATCTCAACTGCCTCATTATTTATTCAACAATAAAATCAGCCATTACCTTTCGTCGATTCCGAAAAAATGGTTATTTTCTGTTGAAAAATAAAGAACCATGTCTACAAGAACGTTTCTTGTAACGGATCATCTCTGTAATGTCAGATGTGTTCTGATCCAGCGTTTCAATTCGTAAATCTCTTTGAAATTACCGTAGTTTGCTTGCGTCGCTGTGATTTTGGGTCTCCTAATTGGAAATTTTTGCAAGTTTATCTGCGGCCACTAAACCGCCTCTTAACAGCACCAACTCATAGATTTTATTGTGAAATGTCATTACTATAAAAGAGTTGACTGCGCTATACAAATAACGTTTAGGTATAGGTCAGTATAGCTCAATTCTACCGGCAACGATGGCCTTCGTATTGTCATTGATACGAGTAGTTCAATTGTGTTCATGAACTTATGTGCATAATGTGAATTCTCATATACATTTATTGTGAGACGTAAATTTTTTCAAGTACTTTTTTATTTCTTCATTCTACAATCAGAAAAATGAGTGAAACTGTGTCCAAATAGCAATGCACTTTTTGCCACATGTGTGGGTCATCTTGACTCAGTTTGACCTGATATATATATATATATGCACAGTGTAACACATCATGTTTCTAATGGTATGCATGGCTCCGATATTTGCTTCAGTGCATCAAGATTACGCGACGGTCAATACAAGTCACATCAGACTTAAATAAACAAGATATTATTAAGGGGACCGACCTAGCTAAAATTTGAAAATTTTGAGTTTTTCTGTTTCTTATCTCATCTTAAAGGTTGTTTTCTTGCGCATCGAACGATATAATGAAAACCTCATACTGCTCTCACGGCAAATCTATCTCCTCCTACAGTTTTCAAGCTACAGCAATGAGACATATACCGTTCGATTCGTAAAGACCAGGCCTATCGACTCTAAGTGTCACTTTTTGGAATTTTCGTCTGGTTCGTTTTTTATATGGGGAAGAAAGGGGGGAAGGGGTGAAAAATTTAAAAATGGGAAAACACGTCATAAAAAAAACTAGGTGGAAAATGAAAAAAGTGACACTTAGAGTCGATAGATATGGTCTTTACGAATCGAATGATACGTGTCTCGATGTTGTAGGATGATATTTGTGGGAGGAGATAGATTTTCTGAAGTACCCCTTTTTAGCCGTTTTCTATGAATTTCACGTTTTCTATCAATTTTTTCGAAAAATTCATAGGAGCAAAATGTTCATATTTTTACATTTTACGTATGTATGTGAAGTTTCATGATGATCGGATAATAACTGTAGAAGTTTCTCCGGAGCTAGGTCGGTCCCCTTAATTGACGGAAAGTATCGGTCTCACGTGTACATCGAATTGGATAACTCTTAATTTTATAGAGATTGATATGTATCGCTGACAATCCCATCCAAACCCATCCAAACACACCGATTACATTTTTTAATGACGGTGCAATTTCAACGGAAAAACTTGAATTCAATGTCCTAAAAATAGTGCATCTGGGAATCAGAATTATTTTAGTAGACTGAATATTTGTCAACTAAAACTGATCGAGGTTTAGTGGAAAAAATTCATGCCCTCTGACGTCAGATACTCACGCGATTTCCAAGGTTGAGCTGAGAAGAAAGACCAAAATATTAAAACGAAAGGAAATGTTACAAGGAAATAACTTTGAATTGGTCGATATCAACTCATACGCCATAGTGAAAATGTCGACAATGTTCGAGAACTCTACGCAGAAACTGCGCTCTCAGTCGACTAGTATTGAGTATTTTATTAATTCACTTATGCTTTGAGTCAACCAAAAACATCTGGCGAATCTCGTTCTAATTTGGCGATTTCTGGCTAGGAAGAAAGATGGTTTGTTGCTTGAAGAGTTTGTCTTTGATTTACTGACACACAATTGAGCAGTGGACTTCGAAATAAAAATTTATCAAATGTCATCGGATGTCTTCCAGCGGAGAATTGTTTAGGTTAGGATGCGCGTCATAGATTAGTTTTCCATTCTCAATGAGAGTGTTAGACCTGGAAGAAAATAGCGTCATTTCGATTGCGTAAAAACACCGAATTAAAGAACTACAAAAAAATAAAAAATAAACGCTAAGTGGAGTAAAATCACACTGAGCCCACTGAGCCCACTGCAGAGCAAACTTAGGCCAAAACATCAACTATTATTTAAGTAGTATTCTTCTAAGAGGGGTTTCCAGTTCCTTTTTATATTTAACGCAGTTAGACTTTCATAATAACATATGACAATGTTAGACTGCTAGAATAACATATGACAATCTATGATAAATATAATGCTGATAGGATAATAAATTAGAATCAAAATGAGTACGCGGATAGATAAATTGAACATATCGCGCAGCTCTGAGAAACGCTACATAGATGTGACAGCACAGCAAGTGCTAGCAAGTCACAGCACTAGCATGTAACTCATTGTGATAGATGATGTTAGTTCAGCACTAGCATGTAACTCATTGTGATAGATGATATTAGTTCAGCACTAGCATGTAACTCATTGTGATAGATGATATTAGCTCGGCACTAGCACTGTCTCTTATACACATCTAGATGTGTATAAGAGACAGATATTAGCTCGGCACTAGCATGTGGCTCATTGTGATAGATGATATTAGTTCAGCACTAGCATGTAACTCATTGTGATAGATGATATTAGCTCGGCACTAGCATGTGGCTCATTGTGATGGATGATATTAGTTCATGGCAACTGATGACTCTAGTACAGCACTAATTTGGTAATATATGACGCTAGTGAAGCACTAATTTAGAGATAGATTACTCTAGTACCGCTCTATTCTAGTGATAAATGACGCTAGTACAACACTATTTTCGAAGACCCTGCATGCATGCTAGCAACAGTCACCGCTCCTTTCCCCGGCATTACTTACACAACGTCTATTGCAACAAGTTCAAACATTTTTTCGTGTTTTGAATGGCTCAGCTAAACATTTGATTCGTTCAACAAAGTTGTTTAGTTAAACCTTCTGTTTCATGTATAGGTTAATTTTAGGTATTTAAAAGCATGTTCTCTAAATCGATGACTTATATCCATCTCTTCATTTCATGGAATGTGCGAGTTTATTGAGTTCTTGTATTTTTCCTAAATATTACATTAATGATTACATACGTTTCTTGTTACCTTATTACATTCTCATAGTTACTCTTTTTCTGTCAGCACAGCTTAAATTTATTATTACATATTTAAATTTAATTTTGTATTTTACTATAATCAAATTCGAAAACATCAATACGATATAGGAGATCACAAAAAAAGTAAAAAAGCGTGTAAGCGGATATGCATTGTAGCGTTAATTGCCTTCGTATCCAAGACGAATATTCGATTTCATGATTTCCTTTTCTGCGATTTTGCGAAAAATTACTCATTGCAAGCAAACTCTGAGAATTCGGAAACTACTCACGTTTCTTCCGATGCCCTGCTTCACGTTTGCGTAGGATGAATATAGTGAAGTTAGTCACTCATTATTCATGAGTCACATTCTATGAGTCATGTTCTTCTCGTATATTATCGTCGTCGATGATTTGAATAATTATTCTACACTAGTGTAAAAATGATATTTTAGGTTGAAGTTACCTGGAATTTACTAGTGAAGATTTTTAAAATATCTATTGATCCTTCATCGTGTTACAGAAATAGCTGTATTGTTGGGTTCTAAAAACTGTCAATTAAAAGTTTATGAAAAAATTCATGCAGTGTCCTAAGAGATATTTATCCGGTATTTAAAGAGTCATTAAAACCGAATCTAATATGTCAACTGTCAAGCTTCAAAAAAGTCATTTTTCGGGCTCCAAAAAAGTCATTTAGCCATAGCAAAAAGTCGTTTTCGTGAATCAAAGAAGTCATTTTGCTCACCATTTTATTCAAACCCGTCTTTCTCCAATATAGGTCACGAGAGTACTTTAATTTATACTGTTACATTTTTGGGAACAGTTTTATCCTTCACAATTTAGACTTCAGATTAATTTGAAACTAAATAGCTGATATACATTATACACATGTTCTAGAATTCTGCAGACTCATTTAATTATACGCAATAATAAGGAACGTTTTTTGTTGGACTTAATCTGATCATTACAAAAATTACGAAAATTTAGAATTTACTTGAAGTTAATTTTGCCACTTATGTAACGAAGTATGGGAAGTTGACATGTGTCGTAAATTCTAGCTGAAATTTAAAACTTTTTGTGACTGGTAGAAAAATCATGTTGTGCACACATTTAGTCATACCAACAATTACTATAATAATAGATTGACATATATGTATACTATAACTATTATTTATGTGTTCTTACCTGGCGTTTGAGGAAACTTCGCAGGTCGCTATTGGTCGCAGTCCTCTTGAAGTCATTACGGAGACCTTGGCTTCTCTTAGCACCGGCCCACCACGGACGAAGCTGCCTCTTTGCATTGACAGCGTAGGGAGTTTCCTCGTCTTGAATACCAGGATATATTTCCTCATAAGTTGTACCGTCATGATAACGTTCTGTTTCTTCTTGGATGGGGCCTGTTCCATCAGATCTACTCTGCGTCTTGTCTGTCACATTAAGGGGTGACAAAAAGGTGTCTTCTGCACCGGTTGGTGGCTGTCCGGTTTTAGTACCATGCAAGGTTTCCATTCCAGCATCAACCTCGGAAGACGTAGTTAGATCATTCGCCGTCAGGTCTAAAGTAGGCAGCCCTGCAGTGTTCATGAAATTAGTTGACCACCTGGAGTTTTGTCGTGCTTTGAAACGGTCGTCCAACCCACGTGCTAAGTTGCCAAAATCAGTTGCATGCGGTAAGAAGTTCATGAAGAAATTGCGACCACGTTGATTGTTTCGTGCACCCACGGCAGATAGTGTGTCATGTAACTTGCTCTTCAAAAGATCATTGAGATATTTTATTACTCCAACAGTTTCTGGGTGAAACTTGTGCAATTCGTCGTAATTTCTAAGTGCCTGGACGTTGTTCTGTAAGATGGCATCAGCCATGAGAAGTGGCAGGAGAGGTGGCTGGTTTGGCCCGTTTGCAGACATCGATCCCGACTTAACGTAAGGAAGTATATTTTTTCCTGCTGGGAAAAGAGAATTATTGCTTTCCAAGATTACTCCTGAATTGAGACTCCATAATCGTCCAAATACAGTAAATCCGTGATAATCATTGTAAAGAATGTCGATGATAAACATAATGATCCGCCTTATCATAGGTACAGAATACATTCGAACGACAATTTAAAATATGATAAAGAGGCAAAATATCGTCGTGATGAGCGAAATTGACAGATGCGGGATGAAAAAAAAAATGTAAAGGTGCAGTTGTTATTTTGAGCGATTCATTCAGAAGGCCGAAAATATAAGGCCTTAAAAGTTATTCTGGGGAAAGTAGAAAACTGGCCGCGTTCATCATGTTGGACTTGGTGTCTGCACCGCTGTGTGTGTTTAACGCCCGCAAAACTGGAGTCCCATATTCGATTTGCTTCAGCGATGGCCGCATCATCTCGAGATGTTTGAGTTGTAGTCCAAGTGTGGCTTTTAGCTTCCATTGAATGTAAACAGTGGCACCCACGCCTTAGTCTTCAGGCGCAGTCAACAGCTTCTCGAAGACTGGTCTTACCGCCGTTGAAGGCAAAATTTGTTCACTTGAATCTTCTTTGGTTTCTTCAAGGCTGGTGCAATTTCAACATATGAAAGTTGATTTTACAGGCTGGGTTTGAAACCATTGGGGCTGATCGTGTACTGGGCTACATGTGGGGTTACTGGGTTACACTACGCGTTATCCAGAGGGTTTGTATTATCGTTTGCAAACAACATGATCAAAAATTTTGCGATATGCAAGCAAATGCATTACAATTTGAATGAGATACAAGAATAGAATCACTGAACAAGCGATGATAAAATATTAATATCAGCTGATTGACGAATCCATCACTTAATCGTACGGCCTAGCGAAATGACACACCTATGCAAGAAATCAGCTATGTACATGGCTGTACTAGAATTTAAACCCTAGAATTTAATAATTTTTTATAATGAATAAATGTGCGCCTTGAATCGGATCTGGCGCTTTTGAAAAAGGAGCAAAATGAAAATTGGGCATGGCTCGTATAATAAAAATTTGTTACAAATACACGATATTCTAATGAGTTTATCGATGACTTGACTAAACATTTCCAACGAAGGCATTTTTTTTACTTCTAATTGTGCTATATAGGTGATTACTATATAGGTGTGCTATATAGGTGATTAGGCGGGGTGGCCCAGTGGTTAAAGTTCAGAGTGCCAAGATTGGAGCAGAGAGGCGCGGGTTCGATCCCAGCTCTGTGCGCCAGTTTCTGGTCAGAATCGGCAGGGAGGCCGGGCGGTTAAGCACAGCAGAATTGTAGCAGTGAGTTGCGAGTTCGAGACTCGCAAAATGCTGTGAATGTTCTGCGATGTTAAGAATCGGCGACAGGCCTACGGCCTACTAAACGCTGAAACCGCTATTATTATTATATTATTATTACTTTCTTACTCTGATTAAAAATGCAAAAGTAAAAACAATCCATTACTTAAAATTAAACAATATTTGTAATGTTTTTCAATATTTTATTATTCCAAGGCGCTAGAAATCATACAGGAGCAATTTGGTTTCCAGCGATTCTAGCGTCGTAGTATCGATGACAAATTATATTCGAAGAAAAATTCCTGCAATAATTGATACTAAAATCATGACATTTTTATATTTTCAAGGAATAATTATAGTTTTTCCAGTGTCGTGTGGCTCACGCTATTAACAGGTTTCTAGTCTAACACAAACAAAAGAAGCAAGCGAAATTTTTAATAAAATTTACTGACAAGATTTTTGATTGAGCTGCTCTGAATTGAAGACATATATTCATCAACTCAATAAATAGTGTCAAAATAAAAAAAAACACTTCGGTCTTAAACTTATTATACATGGTAGTTTCCGAAGTTCTATTATAATATTTTTGTAATAAATATCGTCCCATAATCGTCGCTAAATTTCATTAGACAATATTATCAAAAATTTTTTGATCAACATAGTTTGAACTTCAAATATCCCTCCGAGACCTGTATGGACGGACAATCAAACGAACGAACAAACGAAAACGACAAATTTTAGTCAAAAACGCTATATAGGAGTCATAATGTATATTAAATCAGGGGATTGAGAAGGGATCGATGTAACTTTCTGAAGTCAATATTAAGCCACTCGAGGGTCAAAAAAGTCTATTGAAACAACGAATATGTAGGAATTATATCAGTAAGCTATTTTGTTCATTTATGACACAAATGGTTTTCTCGCATAGTCAGTGTAGTATGCAATAATGTAATAATATTTGTAATAATGTAATAATTATAATGTAATAATATTTGTTGCAGTCGAATCAGGAAAATATTTCGATGCTTTATATTTTGAGAAATGTTCAGATCCTTACCGAAGTCCACAGCGTGTTAGAGCATTTGATACGTTAAAGCGTGATTGTTAGGTAAGTCTAAATATTAGACAAGTAGGGTAACATGGGGCAGCGTCCGTGTTCTCTACCGCCGTGTATTTTGTATTGGTCCGTGTTCTCTACCGCCGGTCGACAGTTTCACTGGGATGAAGTGTGCGGATTTACGTTTTGCTAAGTTTTTGCGTTATTAAGTTATTTGTGAATAACTGTTTTAGNTAAAATGAAACAAGTTCTATATAACTGATATTTTGATACTTTTAGTACAGATAATCGCATTGAATAAAGATAATTAATTAAGATGGCTTCTCTCCGCTGTCTGTTGCTGCTCCTGGTCGTCTGCTCGCCTTGGCAAGACGTGCTCGCAGGTCTGGGATCACAAAATTGTAATAAGATTATTTATTAAGTATGTCAATGTCGAATTTAATTGTCACTCACGTAATGTGCATGCATACTCTCAGTATGACGGTATTAAGTGTTTTATGAAATTTCAAATGAATCCCTCATCTTAAAATATAAATAAGCTAGTTGGTACGTATAAAATTTGATAATGAAGTAGGGACACTTTTTCGTAGCAGTGTTTTTGTACCATTGAGCCAAACTACGCATTTTAAAATCAACAAAATAGTTTCATGCATATACGTAAACCTATTTAAAATTAGATTGTTTAACTTCGCTCTTGTTTGCTTTGCTTTGATAGGCTCTAAATATTATATATATTTTGAAGATTGAGTATCAAAGTTAAATTAGTTAGCCAATTGAATTATTAAACATAAGGGATAAATCTGCTTAAAAGCATGAGAACTTCAAGGTACTTAAAATCTCCCTGTGTTTTTTTTTAGGTGTTAAAGTCCTAGAAAAAAATCTGTGCAGCCGTGAATTGTGTTGAAAAAATAAAACAACAATTAAGCACGCACAATCCGCGCTGGTAGTGCAAGTTATCGAGAATTTAATAACTTTTACCAAGTCATTAACTCAACTTTTACTACTTTGTCTTTTTCAGTAAATGTCACGGAAGCAACGCCAACTTGCCCGGAAGAGCCAAAAGGTTGGAATTAAGTTACATGAAAATATATTTTTTTTTGCGATCTGTTCAGCCCGTACTTAAAATTATAATTATACATTTTATGATATGTTTTATTTTTGGTTTATTCTATTTCGATTTGCATCCAATTCAACGCACACAGCTTGAACATATGAATGCCTAGACCTGCAAATTTTTCAACGTGGCTAATGGTAAAATATTATTTTCATAATTGAATGATACCACCATTCAATGGTACAACCTTATATAGTTTCTATAGTTTTTACAGCCTACTTTATGGAAGAAATTACGGATGTGGACCTGAATGTTACATGCATTAACATCATAAAAAATTCCATAAAATATTTGAAGCGAGAATGCTTTGTACTTTTAGTCGAAAATTGGATAATGCGTAGTCGAAAAATGGATAATGCCAGCAGTAGGGTTTCGGTTGCCTGCTTCCTCTTCCTAAATGACCTGGCGCATTGCACATACAATAATCGTGTATGATTAACTAAAAATGGATGTATTGGTCAAACACAGGCATAGAAGCAGAGGCGCTGCTGCCCGGCATTGACAACAAGAGTCTGGTGGTGGTGGACGTGCGGCCTGCCGAGGACCTCGCGAACGACGGCCGCATCCCTGGGTCTTTCAACGTGCCGCGTGAGTGGCGCTCGGGGTTGTGGTCTATAACTTGAATCCGTCTTGGACCGATTTGGGGGCAGTTAATTTTTATATTTATTCAAAGTATTTTAATATTAAAATCTCAAGTTTTTAATTAGACTTGAACCCACATCAGTGCCGGAATTGGTCGCTGCGTTTAAGCTGGAGTCCGCAGCCTTCAATGCCCAGTACGGCTTCGAGAAGCCAGCAGCTGATAAGCTGGTTCTTTCCTGTCGATCTGGCGGACCGGCGCTGGAAGCTTGGCGGAGTCTGTCCCCACTGGGCTACTGTCATGCCAGGTGGGTGGTTATGGTGGTACCTATCGCTTTATGGTTTTGTGGTTATGGTGGTCATGGTAGTGGTGGTAATTGTAAGCTATCGCTTGATAGTATTGTGGTTATGGTGGTTCATGGTGGTGGTAGTAATGGAACCTATCGCTTCATGGAGTTGTTATTGATCGCAAAAGTGGCAGAAGTAATGAAGTCTTGAGTAGAAATTGGTGCAGCATTTGTTGAACAACTTCAAATTATTCAGTTGTTAGTTCACATAACAAGAAAAAAACTTTTGATCGAAAATTCCAAAAATGAAAATCAGACTAATTCTATTGCCTGTGCTTCATTACAATTTTCTTTCTTGAGTGTGTATTTATTACAGTGCCCACTTATCATCTTTGCGCAGGGTTTACTTTGGTTCGTTCTTAGACTGGCAAGCCAAGGGACTGCCCATCGAACGCGGGCTTGAAGGCACCACCCGAAATAATTCGTCTGGCTGATCGTGACCGTGCGACCAACAAACCATTTAATTCTAGACAAACAGTAACCGCAAGATTCCCTTAAGGAAAATTCGTCGTTTATAATAAAAAGCGACCCTAAGCTCTCTTATGTTTGTATTGCAACTTTTGATAGTAAAAAAGACGCAAGTAATTGATGTCTTTATTTTATATGGTGTTCACGTTTTGTACTATACAACGCTTACTTGAGTCGCCATCTGAACGTCAAAGACAACACCAACATCTAGAGTTCAGTGAAGAGGCAAAAACTTCCATTACGACTTATATCCACGTATGGTTACCCAGGCACTAAAGACTTCGATAGAATTTTTTTTAGTGTTTGGAGAAAAGGCCACATTTTAGATAGATGGCGCTGAAGTGAAGGTTCTTCGCAATTCATCATTTCATTCAAATAAGCTGGCAGCAATGAATATTTCATCCCATTTATGAACAATATTAATTGTAAATCTATCAGTGCAACTACATCAGAGTTTAAAACTAATAAACTAGTGTCAGTCTGAGACTAATGATAGTAGATTGATTCCCTACTATCGTAATGTGGTTAGTAATTTTAAATCTAATTACGGAGAATCTAATTTCTAAATTTTATTCAACAGTAAGCCGCAGTTGATGAGCGTTTGTGTGCTTTCGTTTTTGTGCACCTCGCAAATTTTCAGTTAATTTATCCTCTAATCTGGCTCAGCAGCTGTTGCAGAGATTTCTGCTGTTGATTGTGCAATGTCAATAGCTGCTGCATTTGTTGATGAATCTGATCTACTTGCCTCTGCAGGCCTAAAAAATTCCTGCGACTGATACCGAGTCCTATTTAGTGTTCCTCACTCCTGTAGCTTGCGGTGACCGGTACAGTAACTATTAGAGCCGCCCTGTTGTTTCTCTGATCACGATAGATTCGTCCTTCATAGAGCTGATTTTTTAACCATGTTTTTTTTTCTAAAGTTTTGAGTTTGGGAGTAGAATCTATCCAGTGTTCCGGGAAGGAAGTATCAGAGTCCCGTTTCCCTTCGGCTCCTCTCGCCTGCAGGCTGAGTCTAAGGTGATGAAACCGATAGCTATCTCGTTAGCAAGCTACATTTTTTAATGGTATTCCAGCTTAGGAACGGATGATAGTATTGACAGTCTCTCCCAATTTTGCATCCGCGTTGGTTTTTGCTTCCAAATGTGGAAAATTTGTGACGGATCTTAGGGCGAGAATAATTACAATTCATTCCATTCTTCTCCCAACCGCACTTGCCGTGAAGGTTTCCAGCAAACACGTTTCTTACCCGTCAAATGCCTGTTGCTCGAGGCATTTAAATGGGAGAGGGGAAGAGCAAAGTTGTGGTCAAGGGTTTGGGTGGGCGGGGTACTATGTCGGGCAGAAGTGAGGGAGGCAAGGGTAGAGGGAGTATAGGTACATAGTAGAGGGTAACAAAGCGTGAGTAGAGCTGAGGGACGCACTCATGTAAGGCCGAATTTTATTTTCCCACGCAAGAACAACGTGCACCTTCTCCGTGCTTTCTTTGAACCACCACTTGTTCATCACGAATTTTCTGCATTATGAATGGATTCTCTAGTCTTTAAATATCTTACACGTTGGTATTCTTTAAGTAGTGAACATTCGAAGTGACAAAAATGGGTGCATGCGTTACATCTTAGTGCCAATTGTCCAAAATATGGTTCGTTGCATTCAATACATTCCCCGGTAGGTTTACTAACAACAAACTTTGGCCGCCATGTTTACTGAATCAATGTACTTTTCTTCGGTATCTTTTTATTCTCTCTAACTTACTGATTTCACTGAACAATTTTTTTCTGGCCGAACTTCATGGCAATTTACTGCAAATTCAATAGATTAGGTGAAATTTAAACACTTGAAACTCATAACAGGGAAACACTTTTGCTATCTGGTTGCACTCTCTAGTCGCACTCATTTTTTACTGACACTGCTTAATTCCAGACTTAAAAAATATTTTATTTTTCACTGGAAAACTTCAGGAAAGGGTGTGTTAACAGGGTTAAACCGGCAAATGTAATATCAAGACAGGACAGCACACGACACCGCATGTCCATATTGTTTCACGGCCACAAGCACACACTCATGCCGCACTTCCAGTCACAGCAAATACGCACATATATGTATAGGACATGTTTAATTTTCTACTTCTCCCAGATGGCAAGGGTAGGGTAGTATCCCATTATTTAACTGCATAGTATTGCGCACAATATTTTTAACAATAGGACATGTCTGCTTTCGCAATATTCTTGTGCTTCCAAGCGGGGAAAATAGAAAAAATTACAGTGAGAAAAATAATGTAACATTTGTGAACAATATGGATCCTGTTTACGTTGATTGGATGGAAAAAGTAAAACTTTTAGGACGTTTTGGTAACCAACTTTAAGGAAGTTTTGGGATACAAATTTGGAGATTGCATGACGAGGCTCAGAGAAATAGGGTAATCAGGAGGTCGACGCAGGATAGATTACAAATTTTATTCCAGTAGTTATAGAATAAGAGTGCCCAGAAATACAGACTGGCCGGCCTGAATATGACGTCGAGTCAAGACAAGCGCGACACGAGTAAAATGCAGGAAGGTAATATGTTAGATGTTTTTCATGTATGGACGAGACCTGTAAAACATTCTACATTAGTTGAATGCAATGCTTATTTACTCGTAGGATATACCTATATTGGTAATTGCTGGTAACTGAATAAATTGTTCAAATGGTCCGAAGAATCAGGAAACATATTCAATAAAATCTATGGTACAATATGACTAAGAAAATCCTAAGCGGAATTTAGCACATGGATTGCATACCATACAAGAATCGCTCTCTTAATTTGATTTCCATTAGTTACGCTAATAAAATTATTATTATCCGGCAATTTACCATTTGGAAATTTACTATTTAGATTCTAATAGATTCATGAAGCAACAAAGCTCATTCTGAAGGATTTGAGATTTAAACCATTAACATTTAAGCTACCGACAATTTCTCTTCTAAAACCATACAATTGTTTCACTGATAACTTCGCTCTAGCCAGAAAATATCATATGATTTACTGACTGAATATTTTATGATTATTTAATAGTGAAGCTGATGAAATCCGAAATAAGTGGGCGAATTCAAGCTAATTAAGTTACATAAAGTTACAGAGATTTATGATAAACGAGTTTGATGGTTTAATGAAATTAATTACGACAGTCACATGTAAATAAAGTGCAACATATAATTTCGAGACACTTCGATTACTCTTCAACTTCATTTGCATGGTATCACTAAACTGGGTCAGCATAACGAAGATCTCGGTACATAACTAGCCCATAAGGCTAAGGTTGGTCGGCAAACATTTTCTAATCAGGATCTAATAATTATTATGGACAAACCATCGCTTGCTTTTTAAGTACAAAAAATGAATATACTACTGAAATACATGCATACAAATTTAGTAAATTAACACTCACCCAGTGGTTATGTTAGTTCACCAAAACACGAAAGAAGCACCCGACAACCGTTTAGAAACACGTCTACATTCAAATAGAATAAATAACTTCTACTTCTCGCTTCCAGGCTCTGGCGATGTTGCCAGACAGTTACGAGTGAAAATTTGAATTACGAATTATGTGAATTACAAAATAATAATATATTGTTATTACTAAAGCTTAAAACTATTTCAAAATTATCAGACATTATAGATGTTAAGACTGGCCATGATTAACTGGCTTACAAAGCTGATTGCATTTACTTTTATTATAGTCCAATTGGCGTAGGCCATCAGCCAGGGTTAACAAGTGACGTACATAATTAGAGCTTTAAAATATATGGAAATACTGTATCCTTCCAATAATACTCTTGAATCACTACAGATTAATGACTGGGAACAATTGTAAGCAACCTATATATCAGGGAGGGCATTTAAATAAAGCATACAGAATTTTGAGAATTAGGTTTATTCATAATTTTTTTCGAATATATTTTTGAATATATATTTTGAACCTGTTGAAATATTGTTTAAAAAAATTGTGTCATCGAAAAAGATCATCGACAAGAAAAATATAACAATGAAATAATCAATATATTTTTAAACTAGAAACGAATTAAAATGCTGAACAGGTAACACAATACCTGAAAAATAATAAAAGCCGAGGCTGCATCTCGAACATGACCTTGGAGAAAATCTGGCTCAGACCGGACCCATGTATAGGGTTAATTCAGAGAGGGGAGGGGGAGTATCCTCGAAGGGTATATAAATAAGATGCGGGCGGCCGGTGCTGCATTGTAACATAAGTCATTGTGTGGGGCTGTTGCTTGACGGTCCTGAGAACTGCGATTCAGCGCTTGCGGGTATCTACATTGTTGTGTCCATGGCATGTGATGACTTAGTAGGTATAAGACTCACTATGGTTGAATAAGAAATATGTCTGACACAAATTTCAAATAATATTACCGAGTGTTTGAGCATTGATTGATTTATTATTCAGAAATCATTTTTATCAGATCTAAAAATTTTGAAACAGTTTTAAGATGGCTTATAAAGCTTATTACAATTTCTATAAATTCGTGATGAAGGTCGCACAGGAAACACATTCAGTTCGCGTTTTGTTCTAACGCTTTGTGCATACTTAGCTGTGAACTTTAGAACATTCAACCTTGAGAGTTGAAAAGTTTAATGTCAACATGCCATAGATACCAGTACAATTGAATAACTATAGTTGAGCATATAATCATCAGTAAAGAAATTCGTGGCTTCAAATGACGACCCTGGAATTTCAATAGGAAAGAAGAGTTGCAAATTTCTGCCATATTACTGCGTTATAACATAGCTTATTTGATCAATTGATCTTTCCCTTTATTTATATTTGCATACTTGTGGTCGCTGCAGGGAAAACTAGGACCAATACACAAAATTTGTTTCATGAAAAAGTATTTGAACTGATTTTTAGCGCATTTTCTCATTTATGAAAAAAATGCACTATTGTGCTCGCCATGTCCGTCTGTCTGTCTGTCTGTCTGTCTGACTGTCCGTCCGTCTGTCCGTCCGTCCGTGACCTCAAGTTTTCGTCGACGAGAAAATGCGCTCTCTGTCACTCACTGCAGTGAGTACTGAGTTATGTTTTTTGCTCCTTTAGGCTCAATGCTGTGGCTGAACACGTTTTTTTCATATAAATGGTTCATTGTTGAAAAATCTTCGAAAAAACCGGCTTGAATGCGATTTCGTGTAGGTAATTATCGAAGTCTTGTTAGTGCGATACCATTATTTATTCAGTGCTCGCATACTATGCCAGCTACTCGATGAGCTTCAAGAAGGAGTCGCAGCGCATTAATAATTCCGTACAGCATCCCCAAAACACCGCCTTTTTTGCTTAGTTGATGACTGACATCACTGAAATCACAACTGCCAATGACACGTTAGTCGCCACATGGCAGGTACTGCACTTACTCGTCCGCTCGTCAGAAAAATTATTTTGATCAGAACTGGGATTTATGTTTCGATTACTAGAGAATAACTGCGAAGCTGCTTCGACCTCGATTGATAGTTCAGACTTGGCGGCGTCTCTTAGCAAAAAATAAATCTGGTCAACCTTCTTCGTCGGATTGGCATGCCACGCCAGGTTAAAAAATTGTTGATTCTCTCGCATAACCTGTCAAGCTACAAAGATTCAACGTGAAAAAAATATATATATATATAGTTTTCAATATTTTATATACATACGTTGTCATTTCTTGCTGATTTATACGTATATTTTTTACTCAGTTGATTTCAAAGGTTAAGCCTATAAGAAAACAAACGGTTTGTATGTAGCACGATGTGAATTTTCTCAATTTTACTTCAATTTTGGAGAAGGTAAAACTTTTAGAAAAATTCTAGAAACTAGGAGCTAAAACAGACGCAATACCTATACTGTCTTTAGTTACTATGCCCTAAGATACTGTATTAGTCGACGACAGGTTAATATAATAATAGGGCAGGGTGGCCCAGTGGTTAAAGTTCAGAGTACCAGGACTGGAGCAGAGAGGCGCGGGTTCGATCCCAGCTCTGTGCGCCAGTTTCTGGTCAGAATCGGCAAGGAGGCCGGGCGGTTAAGCACAGCAGAATTGTATTAGAAAATAAAATACTTAAAAAAACTTTTTAAAAAAACCACGTTTTTCTTGTGGACTAAAAAGTAGAAAATAAATTATGGTTCGCCCCAAAAAAAACGTGGGTCGGGCTGTACGTTCACCATAAAATTTCCAAAATTTAAGTGTTGTGTGCTTTTCGCTTTAATCATAAATCTGTCCGACACACGTTTTTTGGGGCGAACCATAATTTATTTTTTACTTTTTAGTCCACAAGAAAAACGTGGTTTTTTTAAAAAGTTTTTTTAAGTATTTTATTTAAATTATGTCTTTGTTATTAAAGTGCAAATGGCGGATGTGTTTTATATCTAATAACATTCGTGTATGATGATAAGGAAAAAATTAAACTGAAATATATACAAATAGTATTTAGATAGTGCATGCAAGGTTAAACTAGGTCCTTATTAGTTATAAGTTAATGTTGTGTTCGCTTCTCGGCGGCCGGCGAGTGCAAGGTCATGCCCGGTGAAAGGGCTATGGCCTATGTTCCAGGTCACATATTTTACCATGAAGTCTATACTATTTTTCACCCCACGTGGATGAGAAGTCTAACGTATTTTCAAAGAAGTTTAACGTCATTTGACTAGGCGCGGGTTCGATCCCAGCTCTGTGCGCCAGTTTCTGGTCAGAATCGGCAGGGAGGCCGGGCGGTTAAGCACAGCAGAATTGTAGCAGTGAGTTGCGAGTTCGAGACTCGCAAAATGCTGTGAATGTTCTGCGATGTTAAGAATCGGCGACAGGCCTACGGCCTACTAAACGCTGAAACCGCTATTATTATTATATTATTATTACTTTCTTACTCTGATTAAAAATGCAAAAGTAAAAACAATCCATTACTTAAAATTAAACAATATTTGTAATGTTTTTCAATATTTTATTATTCCAAGGCGCTAGAAATCATACAGGAGCAATTTGGTTTCCAGCGATTCTAGCGTCGTAGTATCGATGACAAATTATATTCGAAGAAAAATTCCTGCAATAATTGATACTAAAATCATGACATTTTTATATTTTCAAGGAATAATTATAGTTTTTCCAGTGTCGTGTGGCTCACGCTATTAACAGGTTTCTAGTCTAACACAAACAAAAGAAGCAAGCGAAATTTTTAATAAAATTTACTGACAAGATTTTTGATTGAGCTGCTCTGAATTGAAGACATATATTCATCAACTCAATAAATAGTGTCAAAATAAAAAAAACACTTCGGTCTTAAACTTATTATACATGGTAGTTTCCGAAGTTCTATTATAATATTTTTGTAATAAATATCGTCCCATAATCGTCGCTAAATTTCATTAGACAATATTATCAAAAATTTTTTGATCAACATAGTTTGAACTTCAAATATCCCTCCGAGACCTGTATGGACGGACAATCAAACGAACGAACAAACGAAAACGACAAATTTTAGTCAAAAACGCTATATAGGAGTCATAATGTATATTAAATCAGGGGATTGAGAAGGGATCGATGTAACTTTCTGAAGTCAATATTAAGCCACTCGAGGGTCAAAAAAGTCTATTGAAACAACGAATATGTAGGAATTATATCAGTAAGCTATTTTGTTCATTTATGACACAAATGGTTTTCTCGCATAGTCAGTGTAGTATGCAATAATGTAATAATATTTGTAATAATGTAATAATTATAATGTAATAATATTTGTTGCAGTCGAATCAGGAAAATATTTCGATGCTTTATATTTTGAGAAATGTTCAGATCCTTACCGAAGTCCACAGCGTGTTAGAGCATTTGATACGTTAAAGCGTGATTGTTAGGTAAGTCTAAATATTAGACAAGTAGGGTAACATGGGGCAGCGTCCGTGTTCTCTACCGCCGTGTATTTTGTATTGGTCCGTGTTCTCTACCGCCGGTCGACAGTTTCACTGGGATGAAGTGTGCGGATTTACGTTTTGCTAAGTTTTTGCGTTATTAAGTTATTTGTGAATAACTGTTTTAGTCCAGATAAAAAATTTTTTGTTTCTAAATAAAGTTTTTTCGATTACTGTAGATGAAGCTTTTGAAATTACTGTGATTTATATTTTCAAAGTAATAATTATAGGGATAATTTTGAGATCAAGTTTAGACTACTAGCTTTTAAATTAAAATGTTGACACGATATAAATTGAAATGATACCTAGTGAGGCAACGGGCCCATGCGTGTCACGGGGCAAAGCGCCCATGGTGAAGTCTTGTGTTATACATCATTAGATTTGTCTCAATGACCTTTTCAAACTATGACTAGCTTTTTGAATTACAAATTACACTTCATATTGCATGATTTTTTGATTTGCCGCCTCAATGCAGCAGGTTTAGTTTCTAGTTATGCGTATTTATGACCCCTTATCGAGTTATTGACTCTTGCCTTGCCAAAAGTTTATTTCAGTCAACACCAATGAGCCAAAAGTTGCTGAGATTTTATGGTGTTGGCTGAAATCACGATTAGGTAAGAATTCTCTGCACATAATATCTGGATTATGGACGAAACTGGAACGAAGTTTTTTTCTGATCAACTAAATATATTTTTTCTATTCAAGGATACATTTTTTCATGTCAAGGACGAATTTTTTATCGCAAGGATATATTTTCCAAGTCAAGGATATATATTTTTATGTCAATGAAATATTTTTCTTCACGTCAGTGATAGATTTTTTAAGCCAAGAGTATATTTTTTCAAGTTAAGTATATGATTTTTTCAGTTGTTACTAAATGAGTGAATGTCATATTTTTTATTACATTTTCTTATTTTTAACGGTAAAGTGTTTTTTTTTTCATTTTTAAACGAAAAATATGCATTTACTGTAAAGGGACCAAGGGTGGGTGCCTTGCTTCAAGCCAATGGGCCCATTGCCCCAGGGGTGGGGCAATGGGACCATTTTGACACTTTTTACAAAATAGTGTTTCATTAAAAATTGAATAAACCTATAGGCGTCTAATTCACATCATACATTCCTCATTAGTTGTACTTTTAAATAAAACAAAGAACCACCTCGTATCAATTAAAACTTCATCAAAAATTTGGTTTAAAAAAAAAGGGGGGGGGGCGCGCTGCCCCATGTTGCCCTACTATGTAAGATAATCTATTGGACGAAAATTAGGAAAATTAAAACATCAGATAAGTATTAGATACGTCAAAGCATTATATAATTTAAATCACTATTTAAGTTTATACACTATATAAGTACTCTATGCATTAAAGCATAAGATGAATGTGTTTTACTCACCATCGTCGTACGGCACGCGATAAGGGCTGTCATACAGGGCCGCGGTAGCGACAATGAGCAGCGGCAGCAGACCACAGGACGCGAGGCGGCGTGAGGTCATGCTTGGTCCGCGGCAGCTCGTGTGCTACTGTGGCATGCTCTTCGTGGCAGCTCCTTATATACGCCTCAGGTCAGTGCCTTATATACGCCTCAGGTCAGCGCCTTATACACGTCTCAGGTCAGTGCCTAATGAACACCTACGAAAGCTCTTGATAAAGGCTTCAGGTCAGCACACGTAAATGCCTACGTCAGCATCTGATAAACACCTGCGTCAGCTCCTTATATACGCCTCAAGTCAGCACTAAATGAACACCTACGTCAGCTCCTCGTAAACAGCAGCGTCACCTACTTATAGTAAAATTTTTCTTGTCATCTCCTGATAAAGACGTCGTCAGCTCCTGATAAACACATCGTCAGCTCCTGATAAACACGTCGTCAGCTCCTGATAAACACGTCGTGAGCTCTTGGTAAACACGTCGTCAGCTCCTTATGAACGCTCACGTCAGCTTTTATCGACGTCAACGTCAGTTAATTATAAACGCTTCATTCAGCTCTCCATGAACGTCTACCTCAGCTTCTCAAAAATGCAAACGTCTTCTCTCTGTTACCGTTTATGTCGATGATTTTAAATCGCAAACGTCCCGTCCTTATGGTCGCTGGCGTCAGCTTCTTGCCGTCCAAGATTATTTATTTCTCAATACAGCATGAGGTGCAGATTTTACTGGTTATTGAATTTTTTCCAGCATTAAGGTGCAGGTTTTAATTGTTTTAATACAGGAAATTGGGACGTTTACACTTTGAAGTTTGAAACAAGAATTGTCCGCCTTTGATTTTTGAATTTATAATTATTTTTCTGCGATATGCAAGTAGTTCGATTTGCCTAGAATTAAATTACAGGTAATTTACTTTTTGTCACAAGTTTCCGCTTAATTAAAGAACAATTATAGAGACAAATCTTTTGAAATTTTCAGTGCATTTTTGGAGCTGGACTATTTTCACACATTCGCTTGATATATTTTTCTTCCAATTCGATTTTTTTCAGTTGTGTACTACCCATTTCTTCTAATTTCTATTTTATAAAATCCGTTTTTGTATCCATTTGGCGCCTTTTTGAAATACAGATCGATCGTTAATGATCTTTTATAGGACTGGTGAATGATTAAAATGGGAAAATTTATTTGAATTGCTGTGTTATTTTATTGCTAGAAGGCGAAGCATTACAACGAATCAGTGCAACTTGCTAACAACCTAATTATTTCTGTTCCGTTCTTAGCTAAGTTGGGAAAAGTCGGATAATTCTGGCAAAATACGTAACGCTCGATTAGTGTCGCTCCCATAACTAAATCGATTATTAATAGTTAACACACGTACTGTTCATGAAGTGCACTAGAAAATAAAATAAACACGATTAAATTGAAAGTCCAATGTATCTCTGTTTTGGGCCGTAGATATGTGTAAAATTTAAATTAATGTCAGGCAATGCTTGGTAACGACCGATGTCGTATGAAGATACAGAAATCCTGGTATTTGAATCCGTAGAGTTTAAAAAAATTTCACGTTCTCTAAAAGCAGGTTGGTTGTTCGCATCCTATTATCTTTATCCTTTCTAGCATCTACTATGACCGTAGAGGTCATACGAGGACAGATAAAACGTATTCATATTCTTGGGCTTATAATGAGGTAATTAGTGGAAGTTTTGCATTGCCAAGAGTCACCCACTGTATTAATAATATAAAGCGATATATGCTGTAGTAGGCGCTGGTGAATAAGAGATCGTCTCAGACACGTGCAAATCTAACTAACTATTAACTTTGCATTTCTATAGGCTTTAGTATAATATTTAGATCCTTGTTTGATGATTTTAGGATTGTTCGGTGGTCTGCAAAAGTTTTATACATTTTTTTGTATATTTGCATTTTCAACGAACATTGTTTTAAGTAATTCTACGTACAAATACAATACGCCAAGAATTTGAATCGCAACACAAAAATTTGTGCGTCAAATAGCTTATGTTTTCACAACAGCTAATTGGACAATCCTTAAAGTGTGAAAGTCTGAAACTTTCTTCGAACGCTTGAAAGTCGGAATGATTAAGAAAAAATTTCTATGAATGCGTGGGACGAATTAGGGACCCAGGATTTTGCGGCTATTGTCGCGTTTGCAGTGAAGAGCCCCGCGTAAATGACAGACGGTTATTTTTTGCCACAATTAAAAGCAAGCTTGACAAGCGTCTTCTGAGGCGCTAGGCCATCATTGCAGCCATCACCGTCTTTGTCACGAGAGCTTGTCTTTTGTCAAGATATTTAAGCGATAATTTTCGCCACCTATCTGTTCTCTCGTTGTCTGACACCACCTATCTCTTCTCTCGTTGTCTGACACCACCTATCTGTTCTCTCGTTGTCTGACACCACCTATCTCTTCTCTCGTTGTCTGACACCACCTATCTCTTCTCTCGTTGGCTGGCACCACCTATCTGTTCTCTCGTTGTCTGGCGCCATACAGAAACTTTTTTGTTGTCTGACGTATTTATCACCACCTACGACCATCATTGTTTGTCAACACCTTTTCGCTCTCGCTTTGATCGGCCCCATGGGTACCCTGCCCTCGGGCAAAGCTGATAATATATGATATTATTCTACGTCATTCAATTGTGCCTTTGGGTTGTTACGTAGCGATATTTGACACGTCGTAAAATCTACCGTACAATTTTTTAGTTCCATTGTTTGATTTCTACCTTATCACATCCAATTCATCATGATCAGCAATTAATGGCTCTCTGGTTTTATTCGTGATTTAACAAGTGACACATAAATTGATAGTGCATACTATCGGATACATCGATTTTCTATGAAAACGGTGCTAGGTTTAATCTGGCATGACGTATTTTATTGGTACTGCGGTATATTATATTATCTCCACATTTATTATGGCAAAAACGGCGCTAACAGTTTATTAACCTCGTCCCAGTACGGCGACTGTGCTGACTTTGGGCTAACCTCGACCAAACCTGTTCTACTAGACCGCTCTTCCAGGCACAGCAAATGCGCACTAGGACATGTTTAATTTTCTAATTTTCCTATAATGCAAGAGTTGGAGAGTTTCTCTTATTTAACTGCATAGTTTTGTGGACAGTATTTTATGTCTACTAACAATGAGACATGAATGCTTTCGCAACATTCTGGTGGTTCCAAGTGAGGAAAAGACAGTACAGTGGTACATCTGAGAAAAATAATGTAACATTTGTGAACAATATGGATCCTGTTTACGTTGATTGGATGGAAGAAGTAAGATTGATGACTGGGAACAATTGTAAGCAACCAATAAATTAAGGAGGGCATTTAAATGAGGTATAAAGAATTTTAAGAAATAAGGTCTAATCTTATTTTTTCAAATATTTTTTGAATGCTCTCCGTTGATATATTGCTATAAAAAATTTAGTCATAGCAAGTGTCCTACCAGAAGAAAATAATCGACAAGAAAATAATAAAAGATAAAGCAATCAAGGTATTTTATAGCTATGAATCAAATTTAAATGTTGAATGATTTGAATTACTTACAATCTATTTGAATTACCTAAAAAAGAATGAAAGCCGAGGCTGCATCTCGAACAGGACGTGGGAGAAAATCTGGCTCAGACCGGACCCATGTATAGGGTTAATTCAGAGAGGGGAGGGGGAGTATCCTCGAAGGGTATATAAATAAGATGCAGGCGGCCGGTGCTGCATTGTAACATAAGTCATTGTGTGGGGCTGTTGCTTGACGGTCCTGAGAACTGCGATTCAGCGTTTGCGGGTATCTACATTGTTGTGTCCATGGCATGTGATGACTTAGTATAAGACTCACTATGGTTGAATAAGAAATATGTCTGACACAAATTTCAAAATATTATTACCGAGTACTTGAGCATTGATTCATTTGTTTATTTATCAGATTTAAAAATTTAGAAACAGTATTAAAATGGCTTATCAAGCTTATTATAATTTACATTAGTTTGCAATAAAGGTCGCACAGGAAACACATTCAGTTCACGTTTTGTTCTAACGCTTCATGTATACTTAGCTGTGAACCTTAGAACATTCAACATTGTGAGTTGAAAAGTTTAATGTCAACATGCCATAGATACCAGGACAATTGAATAACTGTAGGTGAACATATGATCATCAGCAAAGAAAATAGTGGCTTCAAATGACGACATTGGAATTCTTATTTATTAAAAAAACTTCTGTGTGAAGCTGATGTCATAACAACTTACAATGCAGTGCAGTGTTCCCTTAAAACAACTCTACGTGCAGCAGTCAGGGCTACTGCGTCAGGTGTAGGGGAAAGAAGAATTGCAAGTTTTTGCCATATTGCTGCGTTAAAACGTAGCTTATTTGATCAATTGATCTTTCCCTTTATTTATATTTGCATACTTGTGGTCGCTGCAGGGGGAAACTGGGACCAATACACAAAATTTGTTTCATGAAAAGGATTTCGATTGATATTTTGCTCTTTCAGGTTCAATGCTGTGGCTGAACACGTTTCTTTCATATAAACGAGTCAATGTTTATAAATATTCAGAAAAAAACGACTTGAATGCAATTTTGTGTAGTCAATTATCGAAGTCTTTTGTTAAGTGCGATACCACGATTTATTGCTAATTACCAATTCCGTACGGTATCCCCTAAACACCGCCTTTCGTTGCTTAATTAGCAAAAAAATAAATCTAGTCAATCTTCTTCGTTGGCTTGGCAAGCCACGCAAGGTAAAACAATTTTTGATTACTTCGCATAACCTGTCAAGCTACCACAGTTTAACCTAAAAAATATTCTTTCAAGTTTTTGATTTTTTATTGTTACATAGTGATTTCCCACAGATTTATACGTGTATTTTGTAAAGAGCCTATTTCAAAGGTTAAGCCTATAAGAAAATAAACGGTTTGTATTTAACACTGTGTGAATTTTCTCGATTTTACTTTAATTTTTGTAGAGGGTAAAACTTGTAGAAAAATTCTAGAATCTAGAAGCTACAACTAACGCTATAGTTGTCATTAGTTGCTATGCCTTAAGATACGATGGTTACGGTCAAATATTTTATTATCAAATATTTTTTTTTATTGACGACAGGTTAATATATAGCGCAATATGCGTTCCGTACAACATAAGTCACAACGAAAACTGCCGTTACTTTCCCGCTGAAGAGTAGGGCGAGATGGTCGCCAGCTCACTTTCGGAATATATTATCAGGAATGGCATCGCCTGCTGTCGCTGTTTTCTATATGATGTATAGTATAGTATAGTATCTTCGGCATTGAAGAATAGGCCTGGATAGGCCTGTCGCCGATTCTTGTACTTTTCTTGACTAGAAATGTCGTTGGTATTAAAGTGCAAATGGCGAATGTTTTTATATTTAATAACATTCGTGTATGATGATAGGGAAAAGATTAAACTGAAATATTTGTAAATATTATTTAGATAATGCATGCAAGGTTAAACTAGGTCCTTATTAGATATAAGTTAATGTTGTGTTCGCTTCTCGGCGGCCGGCGAGTGCAAGGTCATGCCTGGTGAAAGGGCTATGGCCTATGTTACAGGTCACATATTTTACCATGAAGTCTATACTATTTTTCACCCCACGTGGATGAGAAGTCTAACGTATTTTCAAAGAAGTTTAACGTCATTTGACTGTATATAAGAAAATAAACCCAAGCTATTGATACCTATCATATGTGAACATAATGCATGTAAAATGAAACAAGTTCTATATAACTGATATTTTGATACTTTTAGTACAGATAATCGCATTGAATAAAGATAATTAATTAAGATGGCTTCTCTCCGCTGTCTGTTGCTGCTCCTGGTCGTCTGCTCGCCTTGGCAAGACGTGCTCGCAGGTCTGGGATCACAAAATTGTAATAAGATTATTTATTAAGTATGTCAATGTCGAATTTAATTTTCACTACCCTATTGTGCATAGTTTAACTATGACGGTATTAAATGCTTGTTGAAACTTAAATAAATCCTTCACGCTAAAATATACCTATATGCGCTAGTTGGTACATATACATTTTGATAATGATGTTAAGACACTTTTTCGTAGCCTTTTTTGTACCATTGAGCCAAACTACGCATTTTAAATCCAAAAAATAGTTTCATGCATTTACGTAGACCTCCGTAACTTAGATTGTTTAACTTTACTCAATTAAGGATAGCATTTTATTATTACGTATTTATATTTAAAACAAATAAATTTAAATAAACAAATAAATAAATAAAAATTTAAAATTTAAAAATAACTTTTTACTTGAATTCGCCGTAGGACTTGAAGTAAGAGCATAAGAATTTCAAGGTACTATAAATCTCTGTATAGAAAATCTCTGTATTTTCTATTATTTTGAGGTGTTGAAGTCCGGCAAAAAAATCAATGCAGCCTTGATTTTTGTTGACAAGCACGCACAATCTGCTCTGGTAGTGCAATTTATCCCGAATTTAAAAACTTTTACAATTTGTTAACTTAATTTGTATTAATTTACTTGGTATTTTTCAGTAAATGCCGCGGAAGCAACGCCGACTTGCCCGGAGGAACCAAAAGGTTGGAATTAATTTACATGTAAATATCTTTTATTTTGTGATATGTTCAGCCCGTACTTAAAATTATAGTTATACGTTTTATGATATGCTTTATGTTTGTGTTCTATTTTCCATTTGCATTTAATTCAACACACGAAGCCTGCACATATGTATGTCTGGACCTGGAAGTATTTCAAACATGGCTAATGGTAAAATATTATTTTCATAATTTAATGGTACAACCATTCTATGGTACAAACATTCAATGGTACAACCATTCAATAGTACAGCCATTCAATGGTACAACCAGTAAATAGCACAGCAATTCAATGGAACAACCATTAAATAGTACAATCATTAAATAGTTTCTTTAGTTTTTACAGCCTAATTTGATGAAGAAATTTAGAATGCGGATCTGGACGTTGCATGCATTGATACCACTCAATAAAAAAATTCCGTAAGGTCTTTGAAGCAAAAATGCTTTGAAATTTTAGCCAAAAATTGGATAATTCACTCAACATGTATGTCGAGCAGCAGGGTTTCAGTTGCCCTGGTTCCTTGTCCTAAATGATCTGACACAATTTTGCCCCTACAAAAAATCATGTATGATTCACTGAAAATGGATATATTCGTCAAACACAGGCATAGAAGCAGAGGCGCTGCTGCCCGGCATTGCCAACAAGACTCTGATGGTGGTGGACGTGCGGACGCCCCAGGAACTCGAGGACACCGGCCGTATCCCTGGGTCTTTCAACGTGCCGCGTGAGTGGCGCTTGCTCTCAGAGAACTAAGCGAGATTTTGTCCAAATATTAATGCCCTTTTTGTCTCGTGTAGGTCACCTTGGCTCACTTCCCTTATGGCTAAAGTACGTATCAGTGCTACGTGCAGGAAGTAGGTCACTATTTGAACAAGAACCGTTCATCTTTCTGAGCGCGGGGTTGTTCTGTTCGAATATGGTGATTAATACACTGAGAGAAGTGAATAAGTTATGTTTTTGTAGCAGTGGCACACTTTCACTGCACGAGCCTAGAGCGGGCGTAGCACTGATACATCATTTTTGCAGGGTCAAACAGGGTCAGGATGACGGGCAAAAAGTGCATCTAGTACACTCATTCATAACGCTGAGTGTAGAACCTTTTTTCTTTAATCTATTTCCACATGCTTCATGCTCATTTCTTTCTTAAGCTTGAGTTAAATGCTAAATTAAAAATGTTTCTAAATCAGTGACAGAGATTGCGTCAGCGTTCAAGTTAGAGCCTGCCGCCTTCAAGGAACAGTATGGCTTCGACAAGCCAACGGCAGAAAACTTGGTTCTTACTTGCCGTTCTGGCCGACGAGCGACCACAGCCTGGCGACAACTGTCGCCCCTGGGGTATTGTCATGCTAGGTGAGGAGATGTGTCTCGTTATAGTGGTGGTAGTAATGGTACCTAGCGTGTCATGGTGGTTGTAGTAATGGTACCTATCGTGTCATGGTGGTTGTAGTAATGGTACCTATCGTGTCATGGTGGTGGTAGTAATGGTACCTAGCGTGTCATGGTGGTGGTAGTAATGGAACCTATCGTGTAATGGTGGTTGTAGACTGGCAGTAATGGTACCTAGCGTGTCATGGTGGTGTATCGAAACTCTTGTATCGAATCGTCAATCCGTTCAACACATAATGGCGTTTAACATAGTCATTGTTGAACCTTGCTTCCTAGTCGATGGTCCGAGAACTAAACATTCTCGTTCGAAGTAACCATATTTCATGCTTGCAAGTGACTTGATTAGGCTGTAAATTCTTTACATTCTCTACTTTGAGTCACCAGTCAATATTTTCGCGATTCAATATTTTCACATTTTGTGATATTTGTTGCGGCTTGATAGATGAGAACACGTTAAATGATACTGTGCGATAAATGAAGTACGAAATTCAGAGGGATAACTGTATACTTTTATTAGTTTATGATCTAAGACTGAATAAATGTCTTCACAAATTTACATTTACAAACACATGAATTAATTTACTATACAAGCGAGTTTCATTTGAGTTCGCTTCAAATGAGTTGGTGGAACATTTTCTACCCACGGCCTTCTCATTGTCTCTGCGCAGAGTTTACTTTGGGTCGTTCTTGGACTGGCAAGCAAAGGGACTGCCTATCGAACACGAGCCTGAAGGCACCACCCAAAAAAGTTAGTCGAATTGATCTGAAATGTTCACTTACCGATAGAAAATGACGATCAAATGACGCAATAACCACAAGGAGTGCCATCCAAAAAGGCGGCTTTATGATTTGAAGAAACATCGACTGGACTTCTGGACTTCCGTCAGTGTACAATATCCCAGAAGACAGTGAGCAGCGCAAAACTATCAAACACACTGACGTTATTATTGTACCTGTAAATAAAACACAACTGCAGTGACTTGTTTCTTCATTTGTGTCCTCCCTCACAAAGTAAAATTCTAGGCGAATAAGAAATGGAAACAATGACCACAATAGCGTCTAATGTTTGACACTTTGTGATGATCGGACTGATGTTGGAATATTGCTGTTTTAGAATCAATTGTTCATTGGGATCTGAGCTTCATTCGAGGCGGCACTTTGTAATTCTGTACATGATTGACTCTTGCATAGGAATTAAATTATTATGAGAAGTATTTTTGATATATAAGAAGGTTTAATATATATTACTTTATATGTTGTAATAAGAATCGCTACAAGAACGGTTGGACGAGAAATAATTTTCAGCTGGTGAGTAATCAATCACTTGATGTGACCCAGCCCAATGAACATATCATACTAATAGGAATGTGCATTATACAATATTCTATATTGCATGTGTTTCTTTTGAATTAATTTATTTATATTTTTCTTCACTTTTTAGCAAATGTCACGGATCCTGAACCGGCCTGCCCGGAGGAGCCTGCAGGTTGGAACTTGTTTCTATAGGAACGTTAAATCCGACCGCTATTTTGCCTATACTTCAAATTACATTATTAGTCATATTTTAAACTTAAACTTGGGTCAATTGAGCAAAGGCTTAGTTATCTTAATTTTCAAATTAAAGGCATAACAAAGCCGAATACTATCGAGTGCATGTATTGTTAATCGCGACTAATTACATAATTTACAAAACTTAGGCATAGAAGCAGAGGCGCTGCTGCCCGGCATTGCCAACAAGAGTCTGGTTGTGGTGGACGTGCGGCCTGCCGAGGACCTCGCGAACGACGGCCGCATCCCTGGGTCTTTCAACGTGCCGCGTGAGTGGCGCTCGGGGTTGTGGTCTATAACTTGAATCCGTCTTGGACCGATTTGGGGGCAGTTAATTTTTATATTTATTCAAAGTATTTTAATATTAAAATCTCAAGTTTTTAATTAGACTTGAACCCACATCAGTGCCGGAATTGGTCGCTGCGTTTAAGCTGGAGTCCGCAGCCTTCAATGTCCAGTACGGCTTCGAGAAGCCAGCAGCTGATAAGCTGGTTCTTTCATGTCGATCTGGCGGACCGGCGCTGGAAGCTTGGCGGAGTCTGTCCCCACTGGGGTACTGTCATGCCAGGTGGGTGGTTATGGTGGTGCCTGTCGCTTTATGGTGGTCATGATGATGGTAGTTATGGTGCTTTTCGCTACATGGTGTTGTGGTTTTGGTGGTGAAGGTGGAGGAAGTAAGGGTACCTACCGCTTTATGGTTTTGTGGTTGTCAAGGTGGTGGTTGTAATGGCTTTATGGTGCTGTTATTAATAGCAAAAGTGGCAGAAAAATAAAGTCTGGAGTAGAAATTGGTGCAGCATTAGTCGATCTTCAAATTATTCAGTTGTTAGTTAATACACCGAAGTATAAAACGAAAATTCCAAAAATGAAAATCATCCTTTTTCTGTTGCGTATGCCTCATTAAACTTTTTCTTATTGGTTGTATATTTATTATATTATATGCCTACTTATCATCTCTGCGCAGGGTTTACTTTGGTTCGTTCTTAGACTGGCAAGCCAAGGGACTGCCCATCGAACGCGGGCTTGAAGGCACCACCCGAAAAAGTTCGTCTGGCTGATCGTGACCGTGCGACTATCAATCAGACCGTTTTAATTCCCGATAAACAATAATCGCAAGATGTCCCAAAGGGAAATTCGTCGTTTATAATAAAATAAAGCGACCCCAAGCTCTCTTATGTTTGTATTGCAACTTTTGATAGTAAAAAAAGACGCAAGTAATTAATGTTTTTATTTTCTATGGTGTTCACGTTTTGTACTATACAACGCTTACTTGAGCCGCGATCAGAACGTCATAGACAACGCTAACTCTAGACTTCGATGATGAGGCAAAAGCTTTCCTTATATTTTCGTTTTAATCCAAGCCAGATATGTAAAATGAATTTCCGGTAGTGTCTCATGAAAATCCAATAATGATATTGAGATGTTATGATATTGAGTTGTGATGCTCTATAATCCTAAAAGAACATTTTTATTCAAATCTAATTTATTGAAAGCAATGTCACTGCAATTTTTCTGGTCGAGTAGGTTTGGTATTTGCCACTAGAACATTACGGTATCGGTATTACGACTTAATATCCCCGTATGGTAACCTTGCCACCAGAGACTATGATTAAAAATTCCTTAGAAGTTTGGAAGAAAAGGGCACATTTTAGATAGATGGCGATAATCCTTCATTCAAATAAGCTCGGAACAGTGGATATTTCATGAGACTTATAAACACTATTACTTGAAAATCTATCAGTTAAACTCCAACCGAGTTTGAAACTAATGTAAACTAGTGTCAGTCTGAGACTAATGACAGTAGATGATTCCCGACCATACTAATGTGGTTAGTGATTTAACTTTAAATTATGGAGAATCTAATTCTAAATTTTATTCAACAGTAGGCCGCAGTTGATGAGCGTTTGTGTGCTTTCGTTTCTGTGCACCTCGCGAATTTTTATTTAGTTTATTCTCATTATCGTCACGACTTTTTTTATCTGAATTTTTTAGATACGTTGAAGATCCAGGTTTTGTTACAGGCTCGTCGATTTTTAGATGATGGTCGGCATTATTTTTAATTGAAGTGGAATCACTAATTGTAGTGAGTGAAGGAGTCTCTATTGCTGTTGGACTTTCTTCCGTTGTTAGAGGAAATACTAGTTCCTCATTTTTCGGAGACATTTTTGTTGTGTGGACATAGTGAGTCCCAGGCGATGAGTTAATGATCTCACTAGAACCCGATAAACTCAAGAATTTTGTCCGTGAATGCATTTCTTTTGAAGCCGTTGCGTTCTGAACCGCATCAAAATTATCGGCAACGATACCGTCAGCAATTCGTAAAGATGATGGATCTTCAGTTTTATTGGAAAGTTTCTGCTCGAATCTTGCTTCATCTTCGCCAACTGAAACCTTCAAGTTATCCTGTATTGCTGCAAAAGCTTGCGGTTTACTCGAGTGATAGCTTCCATTACCAGTTGTGAATTTGAATTGGTCAGAAACCTTTTCTGTGATATTTTTCAATTGGTTGGAATCATTTTTCAGTGCTCCTACAGCTTCTTCGTTGTCTACTGAAATCAAATCGCTATCGTTTTCCGAAGTATCAGAGTCATAACTAAAATTTAGACTTCTTGACGTCCGAAGATTTTCTGACTTTAAATCGCTGGCATCAGGAAAATCCGTTACGTCGTCCAAGGTTTCGTTTTCATTGCGGAAAAACGGCACGAGCGAACCGCCTTTTGCCACGTAATCAACGTGCCCGCCGATGTAGAGTCTGCACAAAAACTTATATTTCAACAATACTTGGCAAAAAGTTTATGATAAAATACGGAATTTCAGCCGCAGTCGCTATTGAAATAGTCATAATTCAATAGGCAGGGGAAAGCGAGGTGCAGTGAGACATGGGAGACGGTGCGATGCGTCAATTATTCCATATCTTAATGGTTAAAATTTAAAGGGAATTTTGGGTGGTAATGGCACAAAAGTAAGTGTACTGATTGACGTGGCAGAGAGATGTAATGTAATCTTCAATATGTAAAATAGTTGACATGCCCTACTGTTACTCCTGTCATGAGCATATGCTTTGAATTTGATGCCAACAATAATTTCCAAAAGCCATAATGAATTAGTATGCTGCATATTAAAGCTGTTGATGGTTCTTAAACCCTCAGCGTAGTGTACGAAGTGGTAAAAGTAAAGTGGTAAATTAATAGTAAAGTTAGTTATTTTCGAGCATTCAAGTTTACTTGACGTTGCAGTAGCCGAATTTTTGCACGATGTTCCAAGCCTCGACCGCCCGGTCGTCATTGCCGCCTGTGAACGCCACTATGGGGCTCTGTGCCTTGGGCTTGGGGAAGCCATACTTCGACTGAAACGATGAAGATTCCAGCTTGAAAGCCTTGAAGATCTCGTGAACTGTAACACAGTTTACACAGACAAACTTCAACAAACTTCAATTGCACTGTTAAGGTAACAACCGTCTTGTTCACAGTACTAGTAATATCATTAAGATTTAAAGTATTAAAACGACATATGCAATAACAAAATCCAGTCGCGAACTACAACACTGACACCATTCATTTGCAATTTTACGCCAACAAAAGTCTTGTTCAAGGTGAGATCAATATCATTTAGATTAGAAATAATGTAAAACGATACAAGCTATTATAAAACCCGGGTACTGTAACAAGTATTCGAAAAGGCAATCCTACTTAGCCTCAAACACGTAAATATCAAACATTCATTTTAGGCTTATTGCACATGGGCAAGCTAACAGAGTTCTAGGTTAATTAGTTTAATCAATACCTCGTACTCAAGCATGGGTTTGGAAAGCATTATAGAAAAATATGGTCGTAGGTTTCCGATTAATACCCTCAGTACGTTGGAAAACACCGCTTAGATGCAGTAAGATTTCATCTAGGAATATTCAGGACGTATATAACTTTTTTTCACTTATTAACAATTTAGCGATGCGTTGCATTTTTCTTGAAAGTCAACTGCCAGGAAAAATTATTTGTGCATTAACTAACAACCGTGTCATATACTAAATTTTCCTTAAAATTGCACGCCTCGCCCGCTACAATCACTGACGTGGCAAGTTGATGCTCCACGGCAGCCGCCCGGTGGCCTCGAGCTCCGAGGCGTTGCGCACGTCGATGAGGAACAAGGCACCTGAGTCCATCCGTGCCCGCAGTTCAGTGTAGTCGATTTCTGAAAACCAAATTCCTTCATGGAATATTATTTTATTAAACAAATAGATATTTACTAAAAGATTCGGAAGTGTTTTTTCTACAATATATCATCAGTGATGTGAAACCGCATGAAATTATTAGGAAGGATGCTTACGAATTGGATATTCGACGCCCGGCTTGCGGCAGCGGAAAGGATCAGCAACAGTCGGAGTGCTGCTGGATCTCTCGACGCCAAGTTTCTTGTTGGTTGCGTTACTTTTCGGCCAAATTCCTATGTTTGTGTTGATGGCATCGTGAGGAATCAAACTTTCGGGCTCGGTTTGTTCTTGGTCCGTGTTTCGGATCACAGCAAAAAAGCCGCTGGAGGAGTTTTCATCATTCGTTGCTTCTCGAGTCTGATTAGTTATTTCGTTGATCCTCCTGAGTAACGTCTGCAAAAAAAATGTGATGTCTTCAGGAGTCTTGAGGATCTCATTCAGAGTTTGGATTCTGGTATCGGTCATGTTAGTCATGTTCTTGAGTATCGTGAATAATAGTATTTTGGTTTCATTTACTCTTGAACTGTTTTGTGCTTGGTCCTTGAGCATCATAATCTGTGTGATGTTTGTCTGCATTCCAAAGCCGTTCACGCTTTCCTCTTCGTCGGTTTCTTTAGTAGTCGTATTTCCGGAACCTTGCCCTCTGTCTCTCAAATTGAGGGGCCAGAAAAAATCAGGATGCGTAGAGTCAAGCAAAGAAGTTTCGGTAGCGGTCTCCATGACAGATGTTGGGCGAATGGAAGGTAATGACGGTTCTAGCGTTGAGATCCTTGTTGACATTGGGTTTAGTAAGATACCTTTAGTCGGTCTCGTCATGGTCATGGTTGTTATGGGAGACGTGGGAGTGACGGCCACTGTTGACGTCTCCGTCTTGGTAGTAGTCGTAATGGTAGTAGACGTGACCGTTAAAACCTTGGTAGTGACGACAGCTGATATGGGTTGTCTGTTTCCCAGACCAGCTGATTCTGTGACGGTGTTCGTTATTGTCCTGGTGGATATCGATCCAGTGACAGAAAGGGTTCTATCGATGGTTTGAGATAGGTGAATTATGTCTGGATCTTCATGCGGAGGTGGTTTACCTTTAACTTTTATCAAGTCAGATTCCAGAATATCGTCCCCGGCACTTTCACTTTGCTTTGTTGACGTGACCCTCTTCTTCTCGATTTTGAATTTTGAGTTTTCGTTCTTTGGGTTTACCGACACTCCTCCTGGTATTTTTAGGTTTAGGCGCGTAGATGACTGGGAATCTGGAAATCTATTCTTCTCTTTGTGCCGATCTACCAGCTTCTCGCCAGCTGAATGCAAGTATTCTACTTTGAGATCAGAATCGTCAGCAATTATTTTTACTGCAGAGGGAATGGGCGAAGAGACGCTGTGAGAATTTTTTCCGTCCTGTTCACGGGGCTTCACGAATGTGAGCAAAATATGCTTTGGCTTGGCGCCTGCAGGTTGTTGACCGATGATTGATTTTCCTGATGATAATGTTGATGTTAATTATATTCATTTTATCAAAAAGCCTCGAACACAATAAAATAAACAATTTTTTCGTGTACATCGAATGAACATCATTTGCATCAAAGAAAATTCCTATTTCTATCATATACATAAGTCAAACGTTGATATTTATCGTATATCTCATACATAGCTCCTACAATGCATGCTGTTTGAGCATTAATAAATAAAATTCAATTAATGTTCGCCGTACTCACCTGAATATTTACTCCTGTCTCCACCTGATCGATGTGCCGCGGTCTCTGATATTTTCACATCTCCTGTGTTTTGGTGACGCGAAGATCTTTCTCTTTTATATGAATTAACATCATTATTACCACTTTTTTCGATGATTCGTGACCTAACCAGCATAGCTCCAGTAAAGCCTTCGATATTCTTGACGCTCAAACCCACATCGTTTGAGTTCAAGCCCTGCAAGATGCCGTGGTCGGGCCTTTGTTTTTCTGTCCACGTATTCCTCGATTCTAAAATATTGGGATTTGGCATGAATTTCTGCAAATTCTGATTAAAATTACGAAATTCTTCATTCGCGTCATTGTTTGACGTGTTGAGTGAGACTGCATTGGCAATAACGCATTGACACAGCAATAAAATATATGGAAAGGTCTTCATTTTCCCAACATTTGTCTGGAATAAATGTCATAAATTAATTTGGATAAAATAGGAACACTTTCCAGCATGCAAGCGCAGAGCGCAGCCGTAATAAAGTTAAAGTGATCGCTGTAGCGGATATTAAATTAGTTCCATAGTCTCACATGGTACTGACAATACCGCGACACGTATTTATTCACTTCTGAAGTCAATTAGCTTAGACTTTTCTGCTGCATATTTCATAGAGTTTCTTCGTAATTTGTTAAGCCTGATATTATATGATGATATACATATAATATTATAGATGAATCGTGCGGCATTCATATGAGAGGGAAGTTACTGTTAGAACAATTTTTTAATTAGTCGATTAAAGTTTTGTTCAAAAAAGTCAAATTAAGATTTCTTCCAAAGTTCTAAGGAACAGTTGAAAGAGAATCTAATGCTAAATGTGAGTTTAAAGATGCATTTCTTTTAGTAAAATTACCTAATTTTAAATAGGTGCAACGTTATTCCGAATGACGATAGTTGATATAAAGGAATTTGTTTGGAATTCTCTAATCTCAAAAATTATCTAGTTGGGTTTGAGCCTCCATTAAAATTATTACGCTGAAGTTTGGCTATCCAGGACCGAATATGATAAGGAAATACAAATATTCGTTCCCTTTAAATTTAATTCTACCCTTAAAAAGGCTTTAACTCTTTAATACCACCGAAATCGTGTTTAACGCAAGTAAAAAGAGTTTTCGTTGAATGATTGCACCCACATTTCGTAGCAGGAATTACGCTTGAACTGCGAGAAAACAATCACACGCACGTACATGCTCTCGTTGCGACATCTGGCCGCATTGTGAGGGTTGGTCACGATGGCTTCTGTCGTCTGCACGAGCGCCTGTCGCTGCGCGGGAAAAGCTTGCCTAACTGTCAAGGTGAAGTCCGATACCAGAACGAGCAGGGGTTCCACCACCACGGCCACCAAAAAAATTGTTCTGTTGTAGAGTTTGTATTGCTGAGTTTTTTGAGATGTTAACAAAGCTTATAACTCGCATTAGACGACTAAAAGATTGCATATGATGATGCAGGAAGTTGAGGCGACACTGTATATTGGTGTTACTCGTTTGGAGGAGATCGGGTGTTGATTCGTCAGTCAACGGAAGTAATCTTATATGAATGATAAAATTGTCTAGAATTGACATGAAGAAAGTGATCAGAATGGTTAAAAAAGGATTGTGAAAGAATAACGAAAAAGAACGATGGAAGAAAATGAACTGTACGCTTAAAAAAAGTTGAACAATTTCGATGCAAACTTATCTAATAAAAAAATCATTTGCATTATACCACAGTATATGAGAAAATTACAACTCCATGGTTTTGTAACCAATTCTTAGCCAAACTTGTTTATAGATAAAATATAACAAAATTAAAGTTTTTCATTTTGACGGTATGTTAAAACAACGGCAACGTATAGAGTACAAATCTTGAACAATTTGTTGACACAGAGCGATCTTCAAGCATTGGTGTACTAACATGTCAGATTGTTAGCTTCATCGAGACATCTTATATATAGTTATATCTACGATTTTATACTATGAATAAAATGAATCTAGATCAATCATTTCTTGCTATTAGGCTCATGAAAATGCCAGCAAACTTAAATGAAGAATTATAATTTTTGCCTCAGTAGTAGCCTAGGATAAAAAAAATAAATCAGTCCTCACTGCAGTGAGTGACACAGAGCGCTTTTTCTCGCCCGTCCGTCCGTCCGTGAACGCGTGAAGTCACGGACGGACGGACATGACGAGCACAATAGCGCCTTTTTCCATAAATGAGGAAATGCGCTAAAAACAGCATAGCGATTGCTATGTTCCATCAACCAGCATTTGTTGCCGCTAGTAATTAAATGAAGAAATTGAGCTTAATTCATTACAATTGTCTTTAGTTTTAAAACGCAAACACATATTTTTGCATGACATTTTTCAGTTCTATCACCATCTATTTCGTGAATGGCAATATATATGGAATTTTAAAATTTCCTTATTGCAATGCAACCATAAATGAATAAAAATAGCGGTTTCAGCATTTATTAGGCCGTAGGCCTGTCGCCGATTCTTAAGATCGCAGAACATTCACAACATTTTGCGGTCTCGAACGCACAACTCACTGCTACAATTCTGCTTTGCTTAACCGCCCGGCCTCATTGCAGATTCTGACCAGAAACTGTCGCACAGAGCTGGGATCGAACCCGCGCTTCTCTGCGCCAATCTTGGTACTCTGAACTGTAACCACTGGGCCACCCTGAAAGGATTTTCTAGGAAAGAAGAATTCCTTATAGTATCTCAAAAATTCGCGAATTTTGTAGTAGAAATTAATAAGCGTAGTGTAATCTCTCTCGAAATGTTCAATGACCTTTGCATGAGCGCTATACCACATACGTGCACTACCACGTCCGGCGGTCGACTGCGTGCGGACTACGTGAGACAGCGAGGGACCGCACGGCCATCACAGCTGATCGTGATATCGTCGCTCCGCTAGAGCAGCGCGAGAGGCGACCTTAGTGACGCTTTGCATGCCAAGGTTACGTTCAGTTCAACTATCGTCATGCCTAGGCATTTTCATACGTATTACCTCTGCCTAAGCTTACAATTATGGTGATTATTGTCTACGACACTTCGGAGAACGATGAGTTTCACCTCTACGGACGTACACCGAAAAAATTGTAGTAGGATTTGTGTTGCCAAGACATCGACATGCACAAGTATAAGCAGAAATTGAAGACTAAAGATTGATGTTTTTTAATATTCTGATGCTGAAATTTGCTTTAAATTCGACAAGTTCATTAGAATATAGCTTATAAAGCTTGTGCTATACTTTCGAAACTTGTTTGCTCCTCTCTCTCTCTCCCTCCGTTTACATACCCTCAAACTCTCTATGTAGGAAGAATTTTCTGTGATTAACATTCATTCATCATCACGTTATATTTCATCAGCACTTGTAAGCCACTTACTGTCTTGCCACGGTGCTTGCTTTTCTAGCCGATAAGAATGTATAGGGAGTCGCGTTGCGTTTACGACTTTCCCGCTACGACAATCTTCGTCGCTAGATCAACTGGAATTATAATATTCCGGGAAAACAAGAGACATCGGCCTCGACTTCTTTAAGAGATCGTTCGCCAGCCGGTATTCCTGCGCAGTCATGGTCACCGAATTCATCAATACAGATCAGTACACATTTAGAAATTTACTGTCGCGGTAAAGTATGCTTATCAGTTATGTTAGACAGAGTCACGGCCCTGAAGTACAACAGCAAATTTCGTATTTTATAAAATTTATAATCATTATTAATTTTTATATTGTGTTGCAGATTGTAATGGTTTCTTCATACGGATATGAGAATCATCAAGCTATGCGGTATCGCTCAAATGGTTAGGAATAATTTCACAACTCTGGAGAAATAATATATAATAATAATATGTTCTTATATCCGGATTGAATCAATTCTAAAGGTGAAATAAAACGACGTGAACAATAATAAATTGATTCCGAAGCTCACGAAGATCACATCGCAAGCCGGGAAATTTGTGCAAGTGGAATCTAGCAATTTTCGAGACACTTAAAAAATTTGCGTACAAATTTAAATTTTCTTAAAAACAACACTTTCAATTAGACTATATTCTTACATCGATATTCAAACGCTCACGCGTAAATAAGCCATAGAAAATGGAACAACAAATGCGAATCGATTAACGTTACGATGCGTTTCACAGCCCACAACGTAGCGGGCGTTCGCGTTACGCATTGAGGAAAATAACGCAGAATCGTTAATTAAGGGGGAGTGTGGTACAGAGGAACACGTCAGTTTTCTATAGTACATTAAATGGTAAAATTCTACAACAGTTTAGGGTCAATCACTACACTAACTTGTGTGACAATAATACCCTGAACTGTTAATAGATATTATCCTTCAATATAAATAACCATAGACGTACTGCACAGTATCCAACTTCCCCTCAATCATTATTAATTACAAGAATGAAGTTAAGGATTAATTTAATCAAGCGTACGTCACTACACCTCAGACAAGAATAATACTTCGAACACAACCATCTCCGTTCAGGATGGCAATTGATACAATACTAAATCACAACTACGAGTACGTCCATGAAACGAAATCAGCTTTATTGTCATTAAAATAAACGTTGAACAATAATAGAACATGTCCTGTTGAAGAAAACGTAACCAAAGTTTGGTTTAGGGATATTTTTTCTCGAGCTTCGGTTACTTTGTAGATATGTGAACAATTCATGTGAACCATACTATTAATATCATCAGTGAGCCAAGCAATTCCGGTCTCCTGGGAACAATCCAATCTAAGTCCCAAGTGGACCATTCTATTTGCGGTATATCACCAGGGAACCGTTCAATCTAGGTCCCTTGTGAACATTTCTACATAATATCACCAGTGAAAAATCTAATCTAAGTCTCCTGTGAACCACTTTATCTATTTTACTGTTAACCATTCTATCTATATCACCATTGAACCATCTTCTACCATCGCTGAATTCAAGATATGAAACTGGCAGCTACAGATGCACTTGAAACTTAGTTGCATTTATCCATTTGCATGCAATGCAGTCAACCTGCGCTATCATCAGTTGAATTAAAGACATCGTTGAAAAATTACATGGATTCAACGTAACTAAAAATTAATCCAGTTGCTAATACCTGAACTAGAGTCGAATTTGACGAGTTGTACATTTTTTATGGACGCAGAAACTGCGGACTAGAGGTTTTCTTCCAACGAATCTTCGCGTTAAATTCCCTAATTTATGAAGAATGTTTTAATTCCCGTGAATGTAACGTCAATTATCACGACCACAATTTTTAATAGTTCCTAATGGAAGTATATAATAGTGAGACATTTGCAATTTAATTCTCTGCTGAGAAAGTACAAGCTTGCCTGACGTCCTTACATATATATAGTGCACTTACGAAGAGCTTACATCATAATTCAGTTGAAAAACCAATCGAGAATTACGGGAAAAATCCAATAAATTATTTGCTACGATCATTGATTGAATTGATATAAAAACATTTATTATTATCAGGGAACATCATATTAGCAGGGAACAAGGAATTGTCATATTAATAATTTTAACGATAACATAGATTTCAAGAGGAACTGTGAACAAATATCGAGACATTCAGTACAGACGAAATAGTGATAACGAGTAAGCTGATGTAGAGGGAAATCAGCAATTAAAGTTAAAAAGTAAAGAATGAATAAAGTCAAAAGTGCATGTTTAAAAAATCTTTCTCCAGTGAACATTTTATCAAAGCAACCTTACATATATAAACGAGTGAATAAGTTCTACGCACGTAACAATACTGATGAATAGTTTATAAAAACGAACTTAACGCTTTTCGTAGGCAGGACTTACAGCGACTGGCATGCAAAATTTAAAAGCATCACAATACATACAAAGAACACTCATAAAACGTTGTACCGCAAATATATGCTTGTGTCGAGTGCACCTCATTGTTGGGCGCTACTTTCCTATTATTTGACCGATCGTCCGGGATAAAAACAAACCAGTCATTGAAGGCCAAACCAGTTAACCTTCTTCCGGCTGATTGAGTTCAAGTGTAACAACATTAGGTACAATTGTATAGTTGTAAAAAATGTAGCCTAAAGGATGTTGAGTGGACGCCTGTGCAAAGAAATAAAGGTATAAGATCGCCTAGCTGAGAGTTTGTCAAGAAATTGCTGTTTGAGCAAACATTCCAATAAACGAGGGAGATAGCAGAACAGCGCAAAAAATAACAAAACATTTGTCTCTGTGCATCGCTATGGTGCATCTGATTCGCGCTATCTACGAAAAAATATACGCACAAAACTATGGACTGAATTACAATAAAGTTTTGCCGCAGTATAAATTATAAGCGAATTTAGCTACTAGTTCGTGGTTGCCTGATTGAGAATAAAATCATAACGGTTGATTACGATGGACGTACGACGGTTCAATTAATGGCTATTATTGGTGTCCTCTTCTACCAAATAAGGAAATGACACCAGCACAGGAAAGTCGGGTGCATCGCCATACCCGACGCAATGCTCAGCTTGCGACCACATCATTGAGTGAAGCAAATAGATGAGCCACCTCTTCAAATGTCAAAGAAACAAGATGCGAATATTTTGCAGGAATCAGCTGCACTTAGCTACGCAGCGTTAATACATTTATTTTTGATTATAATTATTGGCAAAATTGATGCTACCCATGTAAGCTACATTGTCAAAATTCATCACAGAATACGAAAAGTGATGTGAAACCCGGTTACACCTTTGGCAGACAGTGATACCGGTCTAATGATTTGTACATGAAAACTCTTCATTAACCTCATTAAATTGCACAGCCTAACAAATCGGTATATAGGATATAAATATCCTATGTATATAGGAACCTGAAACGAGACAACAGACATGACGAGTGACGAAACAGTAGAATATAGAACGTAGCAAACGGTCAGAATTCGACCATTTCCAGCAATAGCCTAAGTGCAGTTGATACAAGATAATACAGCTAGGAAATGTAGAAGTCGATGCAAGAGTTCAAGTAGTCTTAGAATATGGAAAACGCCAAACTTTTTATAGGAAAATGACATACAAAAACGAATGAAATTCAGTAAGAAATATTAAGGGACATGTACAGTAAGATTAAGGCTAATATTGTTCAAAAACAGAAGTAGCATGGATGACAAAGATCAAATATTAGCTCGAAGGCCAGTAATATGACCCGAGATATTAAAAATTTGTTGCCAGAGATAAATATTCAAGGTTTTCATATTTTAAATCATGCTGTATCCAACAGTACTTGAATATATTGAAGTGCTGTACATCATTACATAAATAGGAGTGAAAATTCACATATGGGCAGGGCTAAGATGCCAGCAGGAGATAAAACAGGCCTGTCATCTCAGAACAACAAAGACGGGAGAGGCGACCAGCACTCGTCTCTGTCACGAGACAGACAGAGTAAGGAAATACAAGAAATCGTTCCCATATCCAAACTAAGTTATAATTATTATAAATTAAGTTATATAATTATTATAATCGTTCCTATGTCCAAAACAACTAAACACTCAGGGAAAATCGTTAAGGAACGATGTCCATTTCAACGCCCAACCCTGCAGATGTCAAATCTGCATTCAGAACAACAAGCGTACACGAGCGACAAGAACGCGAATAATATCATAGCAAGAATAGCAACAGCAAAGTAGAGTCAAGGTTTAAACGTCATATACAAGAATAACAGCACATGAAAACTAGAAACTTTCAACTGTAATTTAAAAAAATTAATTGTAACGCCAATCAATCAAAGATAGAGGCATAATAACAGTCAACCTCAATGGTTCAATAGTTAGGGGGCGAAACTATCACTACCAGCGATGGGCAAGTCAAGAAATAATAAGAACTAAGGCGGTCATTTAACACGTCAGTCAGAGGAGTGATCAGTGCAAAGGAGTCCTATGCGTAACAAGGATGCAGTGAACACTAAGCATTAATTTATCACATCAATTCGACGGATATAGTCAGATCAAGGACTCGGTATACGATAACAAATATTTAGACACCTAATTTTTCGCTTCCTCAATATTCATTCTATTTCAAAGTACTGTATATCCAAGGCAGTAACATAATAGTATTGTAGCAATGTCATAAGACTTTATATAAAACCAATCGGTCAGACTTTGACTCTATTTATTACAACACTTCTCTTTAACTTCACTTCTTGTCAGTTTGTTTGTCTGTCTGTCTGTCTGTCTGCTACAAATCTTATAATCAAAATTTAACACATTTCTACTTATCCTATCGATCTGAAATTTTGCACACTTGCGTAAAGTTGGAGACAATGCATGAATCAAATGACAAAATAAATGATTTTAAAAATTAAAAAAAAATTTCAATATAAATAAAAAAAATAATTTTGTCAGCTACAAATCTTATAACTGATATCTGACACACTTTTACCTGTCCAATTGATCTGAAATTTTGCACACTTGTGTGACGTCAGAGGCAATGCATGAATCAATTAATAGAAAATAATTAATTTTGAAAAAAGTATATATTAAAAAAATTAAGTGTTGTCTTTAAAAAGTAATTTTTAAACGCATATTTTTTTAAAATAATGAAAAGGAAAATGCCAAAAATATATTATAAATAATTTTCATCAGGTATAATGATTGATAGATGATCTACCCTCTCGAAAACGATTTAACGTAAAATAAATCAAATACGACGTCGTACGAAATTCAAAACATTCATCTCGAGTAATCATATGATTCTAATCCAGATGAGTAAGCAATGTATTGATATTGAATAGCAGCAAAATTTACAGTGTACGATTTCAAACATCAACTACGCGCCACACCAATCACCGCTCTAGGTCCAATCTTAAGGGCAAACTTGAGCATTTTTGTAGCGAACTTTCGTAAATGTGATTAGGTTTACAACACATTTCGTATTTACTAGCATCACTGTTTTCAGTAACATTAAATTATTATAAAAATCCTCATAATTTTCACAATTAAGTCATTGTATTACTCGAAATCATTCCTCGAGTTCCAGTATATATCAAAGCAATCGTGCGTAATTATTATAAAAAATGCAGCACAAAGCCTAAGGACGCACACTAAGCCGAGCATCAACATCTATCATCAATACTAGACTTAGGAATATTTCATAATTTAAATATGGCACTCAAAACTTAAATATTAGGACAGCAGTCGGTACGGGAAGCGTATCACTTCAGATGTAGGCGAGAAGCAGATGCTTACAAACACTTCTTAACAACTTTCATAATAAAAGAACGGTAAAACGCGCACTACTCTTTTAGATGCGTAATTAAACTGCAAATTTGAGAAACAGAACGCTTCCAAGTAATGCACTCAGGTCTGCCTTATTTTTTGTACACAAAAATATTCTATAGAAGATAAGGTTGTTCATTCTGCATGTGGAACTGCCTAGCGCACAGAACCACTTGACAACGTTTAACCGAGTATACAGCTTTAAGGCGACATTGAAAGATCAGCAATATGGCACATAAATCTGCGTTATTGTCGTTTATTGAATGATTTAGGAGTATAGAAAAAGTTAATTTAATTAATCACTCAGGAGTAAAGAAATAATTGAGATACAATAAGTGGAGCAATCATTTCAAAATACGCAAAAATCAAAATGCCTGGTTCAAATCAGGTTTGAGTCATCATTTAAAGAGTAAAATTAAAATAGATGTTAAAAAAATCAATCTTAGGCACAATTTTCAGTTATTACTAGATACTAATTTGAAAGTATAGAATTAATCGAGATGCAATCAGTGGAGCAATCATGTAAAAATTATGAAATCAAACTTCTCATATTTGATGCAGGTTTGAATCATCATGGTTAGCGTTGAAATACAAGTTATCGTAAAAACCTCAGTCACGAGTTATTATAACAAGAAAAAATTATTTTGATTACTTTCCTTATTGTCGTTTAAATATCGCAATACTGTTGTGTGCAGCAGCTAATGTTCCCGACATCGTCGTTGTCTGCGGTACATACGGGAGACCTAAAATATTGACGGTATTACCTCCCTTATTACTGACCGACGTAATTATAACTACACTCGTTGCCTATTCCAACTATTACTACAGAGCATTAATCACGTTATTACTAATTAGAGCCGTTGAACTATTCAGATCGTTGGCACCTGACTGAAGACATCTTGGATAGTAACATTGGCCACGATCAAGAATACAAATCCTAACTTAAATACATAAATTCTAGTGGAACAAAGACAATCAGTAAATAATGTTTAGAAACAAACTTTTGCATTCGAGGGCGCAAGCTATGCGAAAAAAACATGCATGTCGCACAACGATCTTCCCGAGTCAGGACTTAAATAAATACGCAATAAGCAGGTGAGCTGGTAAACCTAGAGGAAATGTTTAAATACAGAAATATAAACAGACACATTGTAAGCGTATTCAATTATGTGCTGGAAAGAATTCTTGGAGCGTGGTAAGTTCAGCTAAGTTAATTGAAACAATAGTAGGCCTTCCATTTTTGCCTTTGAATAGTTCATATACTTTACAACAAAAAATGTGTCGAAACTAACGTGAAATTCGCAGTCTCGTATAAACGAATAGAAATAGTCTAAGATCACGCTGCTCTGAACAATTATTACGAATTAATAAAACGAGACAAACGAACTCGTATTTACGGTTTAACTTGTAGTGCCTGCTAGCATCCAGTAATGGTAGCTGGTGCAGAGGTGGCTGGTGTGCAGAGGTGGCTGGTGTGCAGAGGTGGGTGGTGGGGGAGTGCAGGGAGATCTCATCACAGGTGGATGATGGGCGGGTCATCCAGTTTAACGTAGGCCTGAGGGAAGAAGCCCGACTGTGGAGAAGAGAACAGAATTAACCAGCAATGTCTGATGAAATTCACAGGTTAAATGGCAGCTTTTCCAACTGACATGATTAAGAGAAGGGGATGCCATGGCATAATTGAATAGGTTTGCGTTTGCAAGGAACTGTATTAATTGCTTTTTAAAGGGGAAAATACACCAAATGATCTCAAAGGATATGAAATAGAGGTATTTACAACGGAAAAAAAGAAGTAGAGGTAATAAAGGTATATAATAGAAAGTGACAATATGACGCATTTTAGATCTCGTCAAGTACAACGCGCAATAACGTAACGAAGTATTAGGTTTATTAGGTCAATTACATGTAATTGAGGTTTCATTCATAACTGGAATATCGCATCTGACTGGCTTTCTGATGGCAGTTTACTTGCACACTCTAGTCACGCATGCCGGAAAAACGTGACGCGTATTATGTCCCCAATGCATTCTCCAGCAATTATGGATAGGATTAATGTTTCTGTAAGTTCCTAGTTCATACCACAGTGGCCAATTCGTTACTATTTACCAAGGATCGTTAATGCTGAGCTAACCGAAGCGAGTAAGTGAAAAGCAATACAGGATTATCTCAGAGCTATGTAAATACATCGATAGGAACTAGAGTGAAATACGGGATGAATGCACGGTAGCTGATCAAATGAGAAGACAGATGAATGCTAAAAAAAACAGACTAGACTCAGCATTGAAATCTGAAGCAAGGCACTATAAACACAACATATCATTGTGCAGAGGCAATGTCAATTTAGCAGTTTTTGCTGAAACAAAAAAGATCCTTCATACACAAGCCTAAATTCCAAATATCTCGGTTTAAACATCCAGTATATCGATCTCGAAGATTTCTTTGTATTCAGCTACATTTTTGACCGAGAATCTGGCCCCCAAAAGCTGGTAGTCAAAGTGCGGCGAAGTTTGAGAGCGAGGTATTCGTGACAATCATTTGAAATCCTCGATCGGCCCGAAGCCCGGCCAGTAGCTACCCTCGAGCTTGTAGTCTTTGTAATAGATGTCCTAGGCTAGCCAGCCCCTTTGTTTGCGGTAACAGGCCGCTTTCAGGTGGCCGAGGCATGGCCAGCGGTCGGCTATAATTGGACTAGGCCGACCACTGGCCACGTATTATTCTTCGCCCCTCATTGAGTTCGCCTTCACCGTGTCGGCCGTCGTGGACTGACAGCTCACTAATTTACGACGTCCGTTTCCCCCTAATACCTTGCACAAAGCCTTGATCGATCAGTTAATATACGGTATTTTCACTCCACGTATGAGCATGCTTGTTCATAACTAGTTTTTCAAATGTCGAGTCTACCATTCAGTGGAGAATACAAATTATAACCTGTTAACATCTCAAAAAAGTGCAGAAGTCAGACTTGATGAACATTAATATTCCAAGTTTCTTAAAATTTCATTCATCATAACTCCTTTGATACAAAGTTAACATACGTTTTTTCCTATCGCCATCTTACTTACGAGTGGAGTATTAGTAGTCCAGCTTAATTTGTGAAGAAACTCAAATGTGAGCCGAGCCTGTTCGAAGTCTCGTGGTTGTCAATACCAGCCTAAATGTTAGCTTCCAATTCACTAAGAAAACCTTTTAATCAGAGATCACACCCCGTAATGCGCGCTACCCGATCACTGAGATATGCGCGCTACCCGATCACTTTTCCGGTTTTTAAACTCATCTTAAAGCTTACTTTCTGCCGCATCGAACGGTACTAGAACCATCTCTGTACGTTGATTTATGCGTTCAGGACAGATCTCGGAAGGAAGGAGGGTGGTGGGGTCCCTTCACAAAAGTCTATGGGGATAATTACGGCCAAGCCCTATAAAATATGCTATCACTGGACCTGCAGCTCACTTACCACTCAACCATCATGCGGAAACGTGTTGATGTAGTCGTCCTACGCACCGCTGACTGACTTTGAAGTGAGATAACGCTTACTTTCGGTATCTACGATACGTTACATGCCTTTACATAGCTCGCCGCGGTTTTTCGCCTCTACTGAAAAGTTTGAAAACATGAAAACCTATCTCCTCCTAGAGTTTTGAAACTACAACAATGAGACATATACCATTCGATGCGCAAGAAAAAGATCTACAAATCGCTGTAGGCGTTTTTCTAATTTCGTTTTTCTAATTTTTACAGTTTGGATTTTATTCCACAAAAAGGGGGGTGTGGGGGGAAAATCGGAAAATGTGCGAAAAATGCCCCCACACCCACCAAAATGAGAATTTCCAAAAACGTGGACAGCGTTTTATAGATTTGGTCTTTACGCATCGAATGATATGTGTCTCGATGTTGTACCTTGAAAATCCTAGGAGGAGATAATTTCTACGGTACCCCCTTTTTGGCAGTTTTCTTAGGATCTAAGATTTTCATGTTTTCTATCATTTTTTTCGAAAAATTCACATGAACAAAACAGTCTTAGATTTCTGTTTTACATATGTGTACCAAGTTTCATAGATAAAAGCCGAGATAAATTTTACCCTAGACGCTCTCCTTAATGCTTGCTTTCTAATCACGAAGATAACTCTTTAGTCTTTACCCCCAAAACTCATGCCCTAAATGCTTGCTTCCTAATCACGAAGATAACTCTTTACCCCCAAAACTCATGTCCTTAAAGTTAGCGTCCCAATCACAGAGATCACTTGTTACCCCTTGCATTTAATCCCACATTAGTGAGGTTGCAGCGGTGATTACCTGCATGCCACTCCTGCCCTTCCACCAGCCCCGGTCCTGCTCCTGCTTGCCCAGCACCACGACGCGCTGTCCTTGCCGTAGCAGGAGGTAGTTGGCGGTCTTGCGGCCCCCAGGGCTGCCCGTGAACTCGAACATCGACACGGCAGACTCGTACACCGGTAACTTCAGAGTCTCGTCTAGTCTGCAGTGAAGGCATTTTAAGCAATTGATATACAATTGCAAGAGAAACGCCGAACGAATATTACAAGGTCTTCATTAGGGTTTCACGAATACGGAAGTCTGAATATATAATTAATAGAGCATTGAAAAATCTAAATAAATTCTACTTACTCCTGGAATGCCTCGGAGAGAGGGTTGTGGTGGTAGTGCAGGACGAGATCCTGAAGAGAAAAGAAGTTTTGGGCGCGGCAGAAGTAGTACTTGACCACACCACCGTCGGTCACCTCCTTGGACACACGCATGTGCTTCACCTCGCCTGACACTCTGCACAATATGAAAACAAGTTTTATTTACAACACAGTCACATCATGAGACAAGATGGTCGATTTTATGACACTTAAACAACATCTACAGAAATTACACCTCAAAACATACTTTGGCAGCAAGAGTAAAACGGTACCTGTAACGCAGTACAGGTATAAACCCATGACACTGGAATAATTTGGCAGAAGTGCCTCTTTCATGAAAGTTTTGTTGAAGACCAGAGCGTAATTCATGTACAAGATATCATTAGGCTCATGTCTTCCACTAAACCAGCATTAAAATCCATGATAATTGTTCAAATTTATTGCCACAGCCTTGACTCACTTCAGGGACATGACTCACTTGTGGGACACGACAGGCTGGAAGTGTTATGCACTGATCTATTGCCACAGCCTTGACTCACTTCAGGGACATAACTCACTTGAGGGAGACGACAGGCTGGAAGTGTTTGTCCGACCACCGCATGAGGAAGGTGCCAGGTTTGGTGATGAGTAGCGCGTCGTTGGCGTCCACTCTGCTCATGCAGTTGCCCCACCACGGCAGGTCTCGTATTTCTGGCTTCCAAAATTCCTCCCACTCCGTCTGAAGGATCAAAGAAGTTACTCAACCTTCTCTTTATACATTACACAGTGAAAGACAGACCATAAACGGGCAGCATTTAACAAACACATTGAACAAATTCATGGCAAATGTTATAAATCAATTCCTGTGCAGATTAAATTTGAGGAACAAGCAGAATACTTTCAAGAAGCAATGTGGTTGAGTTGAAAGCAAACCATCATGAGAGCGGGGAAACTTCCCATTAATTATGAGCCAAAACATAAAATGCCTCCACCAGTAACTAACAAACTCTTAATGCACATTGCGCCCCTGCCGGTGCACAATAAACCCTTAGTACATTAGTACATAGGGAGCCCCTGTCGGCGCACAACAAACCCTTAGTACATAGGGAGCCCCTTCCAGCACACAACAAACCCTTAGTACATAGGGAGCCCCTGTCAGAACACAACAAACCCTTAGTACATAGGGAGCCCCTGTCAGCGCACAACAAACCCTTAGTACATAGGGAGCTCCTGTCAGCACACAAGAAACCCTTAGTACATAGGCAGCTCCTGACAGTGCACAAGAAACCCTTAGTACATTTAGTACATAGGGAGCCCCTGTCAGAACACAACAAACCCTTAATGCAGAGAAATAATTTACCAGATGATGATGCGCCATGAGTATAGGAGTGGCCGGCAGGTCAGCACTAAGGACGCTGTGTCGCGGGGCGTGGCTGTTAGCCCAGACGGAGGGGGCGCTACTGAAGGCATGAGGCTCGCACACCGAGTACTCCTTACACGCCGCCTCCAGACACATGCCGTGGCAGGGCAGCTCACACACGTTGCACATGTACCCCTGACCGAGATAAATTAGGATATACATTCACAAGTTCTCTACTAAGTACACATTAATAGTGGTACAAATATATTAATAGGTTCTCTATTTAGTATGTATTTCATCGTGGTACAAATATACTCACGAGTTCGTTAGTGAGTAGATTTTAATTAGATCGTGGTACAAATATTTTAACAATTTCTCTAGTAAGTACATATTTCATTGATGTATGTATACACAAAAAAGTCTTGACAATACAATATGTAAGGATTCATTGCTATGGATGTCATAGATACGTACTATTCACTAAATTTAGTGAAAATGCAAGTGTTTTCATGTAAACAATAGAAATGATATAAATCTAAGCTTCAAAACTCTGATTTTTGATTCTCAAGATTGCACAGTACTTAGTACACGTTTTTTACTTGTTGCACAGCCGGCACAGTACCTGGTAGACGGTGCCCTTCATGAGCAGGTTGCACAGCTGGCACAGTCATGACTCACATGGCACTGATGATGGCTTTACCACATTACTCACATGTCCCCCACACTACATCCCATGACTCACATGGCACTGATGACGGCCTCATGCCACCTGTTGCGCTCCACCTCAGAACGGGCGATGAAGGTGAAGGACTTGGAGGTCTTCTCTGATGTCACCGAGAAACTGTTGCTCCCCAGTCCCCTGCGCCCCCTGAACGTCCCCCCATCCCCTGAACCCCCACTTAGCCCCACCATCCCAGGGGGGTCCACACGACACTCCTCCAGCAGCAGCGAGTCTTTGTACACATACTTTTCATCCTGAATAATTAATTTATTATTAATAATTTATATTTATATTAGCAACTTTGATAATAAGTGAAAAGCAAATGAATTTGCAATAAAAATTAACAGGTTTCCAGAGAAAAGTATTAGTGATTTTGATATGTGGTCAAACAAAGAAGAATTTATAATAAAAGGTTAAGGTGCTCAAGAGAAAAGCTTAACTTCCTTGTTTGAAAAAAATAGCTTGCTTTGAGATTATTGCATGAAAATTGTGATGATGAATTTATGGACAGAATAGATAAATATATAAGCTATCAAAATAGTCAGCAGGGGATAAGAAATTTTACTTTGTATTCATTCTGTAAAAAAAAATATATGAAGCAACCCTGAAACATTTTCCTTGTTGAAACATTTCATTGAGAATTTTTCCATGCAAAATGAAAAAGTTAAGCAAATAACATCCATCAAGCACTAAATTTTTCTGCCTAATCATTAGCCGAATTGAGCTGCAGCAATCAAATTTAATGAAGTAAAAGTATTCTAATCTATTATCATTGGAGTAATAAATTGGAGTATTATAAAACTATTGTTAACAAGTATTCTATGCCAAAGTGCAATATTAACAGAAGCAATGAATCTTGAAGCAAGTTCAGAAAAAACTAGCACCATGGGGATATCAGGATAAGGGTAGAGAATGAATTGCTTAAATTATTGCTTGGCAAGAACTAATTGGGAAATTTTAATAAAAAACTTTAGGATTAATTCAAATACAAGAACATTACAAAATGCAAAATTAATTTCAAAGGTTCTGCTTTATTAACATTTAGGGCAACAACCAAACTGCAGCTTATAAAGAATTATATATGAAAATAATAAAAATGTGATTTTAAAAAATTCTGAATTAAGGCAAATAACTCAAACACAAATCAAAATCCAAACATAAAATTGAGAGATCCAGATACAATAATAAGACAGTAGCTGCTAAATTACCCACTGTAATGTGAAGAAGATGGAGAATATATAGGCACATTCAACACACGCTGAACTACCACATAAAAACAAGCACCAGGTAATCAAAGATAGTTACCCCTCTGAGCATCTCAGGCATCTGCAGCCAAGGAAAAGATAGCATTGAATATTGCAACATATTCTTAATACTAAAATATAGGTAGATAAATAACACAAATTTTGGAGAAAAATGCTTAAGGAGACAAACAAGACAATTTTCAGTGAAACAATTTTTTGTTACCCACAAATCATGATTATTGATGAACATTTGATATGAACTGTCCAAGAATGAAACAAATAATGAGAAGGAAAGAGAAAATGAATTCAAAGCGTGGAGAAGAATAAGTAAGGGAAAATAATCAACAAGAGCAGAGAGAATAGCAAATAGTAGGATAGGAAAATAACATGGGGGTGATATGTGGGGAAAATTGAATAAACTGAGAGTTGTTGACTGCCAGTTTGTCAGTGACTTGAAGCATTTATTATAGCTGAGATGCCTACTAAGAGATAGTTGCTCAAAATATGTGACTGCAGGTGGCACGTTAATTATTTTGAGTGAAGTTTAATTCAAGTAAAGTTTAATACCTCAAGTATAACAGAAATAATACAATCAATACAAAAATTCCCAAGAACATATTAGCAATAAATCACAAGCCCATAACTCAAGTGAATGCAATAAAAGTGAGTTGATTGTTTGTCTTCAAAGTGGAGACAAACAATCACAAGCCCAAACCCAAAGTGGAGACAAACAATCACAAGCCCAAATCCCAAGTGGACACAAACAATCACAAGCCCAAATCCCAAGTGGACACAAACAATCACAAGCCCAAATCCCAAGTGGACACAAACAATCACAAGCCCAAACTGCAAGTGGAGACAAACAATTACAAGATCATAGCCCAAAATTCAACAATGATATTTCAAAGAAACTACATTTCAAACTCAGAATCCCTAAAATATCAGTATATTCATGAATCAGACACAATCAAAAAGCATTTATTAGAGTGCCGTATGTACAAGCCCATTGTGTAGTGTGCCAGGGATATGCGCGGTTATAGTCCCCTGAATCTTATTTCTGTCTCTCTCTTGTGAGTTGCAATAAATGTAATAATAAAGTTTACATGAATGAATTAATTGATAAATGAAGTCGATATACATGCAGTTTTCAATTGAAGGATGTCAAAGTGAGCATTAATTTGACCGGCAGGAATATATTTATTGATTTGAAGATGCAAAATCAGTCATCATCTGTGTGCAATGCAGTCGTGAGGGGAACATATGAAGACAAATTCTCTCAGCCAATACTGGCAGCACTGAAAACATTTTACAGAATCTTACCCAGAATCTCTCTTCAAGGTTGGAGATGTGATAAAATCTTGATTATGCAAACATTTCTCCCAACTCCACCGCAATCGCAAGGAGAATACTTACGATGCTTATTTTGGAAAACTGATTAGCTAGGCAATAGCATTCTACATCAGTTATTTCTTATTTTGACTTGTATTGGGTTTTATTAAGATCTTAAGACCTTAAAAGATCTTGCCAGGTAACACATACTTGGAGTTCTAATGATGCACTATCAAAGACCTGCAGAAGCTCCATTCTTGATGGCAACCCAGCATTGCCTACCAGCAAGACTGAGAAATTCAGGAAGCTTCTTGATGCATGAATCTATATGAATCTATGGCTAGACCAGACTAGCTCCTCTCATTTCAGTGCCACTACAATGGAGCCACAGTGACACATTGTAAGTATTCAATGGTATTTTAAGCTTTGAAAGCAGCTATAAGTCAGACACAGTCACATCATGTGTAACACAACAGCCCACTAATCCCTATTTCAAATGACTCATCCCAGAAAGGTTTTCAAACAATGACAAGTCATAAGAAAGTTTTGCATTGAAAATAAGACTAATTAGAATGTTTCTAGGGTTTCTGCACCTCCAAATCCATTAAAGCATCGTTGGCTTCAAGTGTTTCAACACTTTCTGAACCTCTTACATACATTTAACCCTTTACCATCCAGCTGCACATATGTGTAACATTTTAAATATTGTTTTAGTTCAAGTATAAAGCCTCATTAATCCAATTAGACTAGAATATTGCATTCAATTTCAAGCGGATTTCAGCAACATGGTATTTTACACTTGCAAGAAGATTGTTTTTAGAAGGGTTAAGAATTGCACAGTTGCACAGCCCTGGCACATACCACGTGGCAAACAAGTCAATAAACAGAAAAAAGAACCTGAGTGACCGAGGCACCATCATAGAAGACTACTGATGACAGCGAGCTTGCAGAGCCCAACGGAAATACATCCGACCATCGCTGCTGTTTCACCTGACATCATTGTTGTCGTTGTTTGTAATAATCAAATTATAATGGCAATTGTAATCTCTGTTTAATTTAATTTTTTTAATTTAATAAAAATATAAATATTTCTTTGCAACTTGACTAATTTGATTCTGGTTTTAGATCCATGAATATTATTTAAAAGCTACGCAGAATGCTTGAGTTGCAGACACAAGAATTTCATCTAACGATGTATTAATTCATCTTTTTAAACCTAAAATCTATAATTTTCAGCATGAAATACCATTATCATTCTGATGCACAATCACATGTCAATTAGGCCTATGAATAATGTGTGCAGTCCATTTTAGATTATTACTATGGATATTAAGAAATGATGTACCTATATTTATCTTAAACTTCACAGATATCTCATTTCAAACTACCTAGTTTTGCAATGTAGCCTTATGTAGGCTAACCTCCCTTAAGGGCACTACTAAATCTTGCAAGGTGGGCTAAGCTTCACTAGGGGCACTACTAAGTCAATAATAAAACAGCTTCTATTTTCCTAGAGAAGTGAAGACATTACTCACCCTGGACTGCTTGCACATGATCAATGCTTTGTCGAACAGGAATACAAATCTGACGGAAGGGATAAAAACGCCACATTTATGTTAAATCATTATACTGCGCATAATAAAAACAACCTGAGCTGTAGTATACTTTTTTATGATAAGATGGTTTAATCCAATACATTTTATTTGCATGATGACATGCAGTAGTCAAATAGTGAAAATAATACAGACAATTTCTTTAACGACAGCAGTAGGTACTTTTCAGCATTTAAATGAATGTACAACATTCATTTCGATGATGAATAATTATTATTTATGTCATTCGTAAAAAATGATAATATTGCTAACCATTAACCATGAGACGAAGATCATCATCAGACTGCTAGCTGTTCCATCATCTTATTGATAACAGTAAGATGATGACAAAAACGTTCATTATAATAACATTGATAATATTGATGTTGATGACAATAACAATGACGTAGTCTCCATACCTTTGTTTGCTGCGCTCCTGTTGAGCCTCCACTTTGATCTCGCCGTCCAGCCGCATGCGCCCCAGCGTCTTGAGATCCGGCAGCTCCGGTGGCAGGTCCACAACACTTTGCTGCACACAACAAATTGTATCCCTTTGTAATTTGTTGATAATGTACATTTATGGAATATATAAATACATTTATTCAATTACAATTTCTGTAAGATATATTACATGAATTCAGGAAGCGATGTGTAGGTACGGTATATATCCACACGTATTCCTGCTTGAATGTAATCCAAGTTAAACCAAGCCACTATTAAAACTTTTCATTAAGGTTTACTTAAATTTTTTCAACATTTGCCATTGAAATTGCGCTACATTGAAGTTACAGAAAACCATCATTAGTGCATCTTGATATAGGATTGCGATAAACAAAAAAAAAATGTAATACAAATACTTTGAAAACTGTAACGTAGCATTCTAAAATTGCTGCATAATTTTTCTGTTGTTATACCAGTTACTGTTCAAATGAGTGATGTGAGAAAAAATAGATGTTGAACACTAATAATAAATGTAAAAGCTACATACATGCAAATTTCCCATTCATCACGAAGTTTTACCTCCAATGGAAAATTGAAAATCCAGTGCGTGGAGGCATAGAAAAGTGTAGCTGCTCTAGAGTCTAGAGATGCAATGACTGCCTCTCTCAAGCTTTTCACTTTGTTCCTAATCATCTTTCCTTGTAACTGATCTTTACCTAACAAATAAACTAGGTATCAAAATGAATTAAGAACATCGTGAATGGTTAAAAATGTAAGAATGTATTTACCTGGACATCCTCGATGATCTTGAGGGTCTCCTTGTCACGCTTGTACTCATTGACATACTCGGCCAAGTCACGCATGCAGTTGTAGGCTTCACTGATGGTCTCGTATGCTGGCTCCTCCTGTCACAACAATGTTCTTATAACAACGTTACAATGTACCTACACATGCTGGTTCTTACAAGAGCAACTATTTTATTATCATAACTTGCAAAATAAATGCAATACAAATGTGCACAAACATACATCATATAGCCACAATGCACATTGGGTCTTCAGTGAGAACGATGTTCTTGGAAGCGTCTAATCTGCACCAGAAACATGAGCTGAATCCCACTACATGTATAACATTATTCAGAGCAAGCATCGAGCTTCTGTTTTGTATGTTTACACATCCTCTAGTCCCGTCACCAAATTCATAACACATGGAGACACTTGTATGTTGACACTTCTAATCCCGTCACCACATCCACAGCACTTGGAGACACTTGTATGTTGACACTTCTAGTCACGTCACCACATCCACAACACTTGGAGACACTTGTATGTTGACACTTCTAGTCCCGCACCACATCCACAACATATAAGAGACGCACCTTCTTGGTATGCTTGAGTAGCTGGTGCAGCAGAAGGTGGTATTTAAGAATCCTCTGCACAGGCACAAAGAGAAGGTCTCGCAGCTGATGCTTCTCTGCGCTCATTTCTGCTTCTAATGCCTGCACAAAACATTATACATAACCTTTGTTCATTCAAATATATTTACGCTATGATAATATTCCAAAGTGTATTTCTCCACCAACAACACACTAATCTTTGTCAGACGGCACAATTTTACAACGTTATAATCGTACCGAGTTAGGGTACAATTGTACCTATGCTATCTGATTAAGACAAACGTGCGTAGTCTTTGCACTTGAGGACAATAAACTTGCCTTTATTTTATCCCTGATGACCTGTTTGTTGGACAAAATATCATCCAGCTGGTTCAAGGAGGTCTGGAAGTGAGCGCAATACTCGCCGTATATGAGCAGCTGCTCCTGGTATCTAATGAATACCTAGAAAACAGCCAGAAAATTAAAAACAGAATGGAAAAATGTACTCAATTTTAAAGCATAGTGAAGGAAAATTAAATCTTTGTTATTAAGCTGGATAGCTAACAAAAGGAGTTCCTATAAGAAATACAATTAAATTATTAGTATATATAAAGGAGGCTGGAGAGTTCATACTATGCATTGAATTTTATAACAAACCAATAGAGCACCCTATTGCTTGCTCTGTTGGACAATAAAGCATTCTATTGCATACTTTATAGGTCAATAGTCCACCCTACAATATTTTAGTAAATAATGGAGCACCCCCACACATATGTGAAAGTGTGTACAGAGTTGCAAGAAGAGCTGTATGCATGAGGCTGACCTGAGCAACAGCCTCAGAGTAGACGCTGCTGTTGACCGAGTCGGAGTGAGTGCGCGCCTCTCTAAGAGCCATCAATAAAGACTCGTGTACTTCACACAGTTCCTGAAATACAAACACATCCTCACACACAACACATTATATAATACAGGAAACATAAACCGAGTAATTTAAACAAATAAACATGACCGTGTATGATACAGAAAATCTAAAAACATGAGAATGGAAAACAATAATGCTTGAAATAAATTTTTACTAGCCCATTACAAGGTGTCAATTTTATGGTATGGTATAAAAAGTATTGTAGTTGTGTGGCTTGTGTATCATCATTCATGTTGCTGCGCCATGCATTCTTTCCACTCACCTGTGTCCTCTCTTTCCAGACTAGTGAATGCAAATCACTCTCAGATAGATCTTTTGAGTCAGTGCATGTATTTGTGCCAGCCTTAAGCTTATCCCTGTGCCGTGGTTGATGGAATTGATGCAAGTTTACCAGACATTTGATGCTGCTACGTGCCTTGCCTGATCCTGCTGCTTGCTGATTGCCTGCCTGCTTTTGCCCCTTTATGGGTGAGTAGTGGCGTTTGCCTGAACCTGGTTTTAATGCTCTCACTCTTTTACATATTCGCCCATTTGTGTTACATTTCATAATTGTGTCATGCGTGCTAATGCATTTATAGTGTTATATTTTATTATGTTACAAACTTGTATATGTCACTTGCTCTCCTATTGTGCACTAAAGCCAATTCCCGCATTTTGTTCACTTATAGGGCATCGAGAGTTGAGTCTAGAAAAACCTGGGAATTAAACTGAATCCAAGAGCATCCTTCACCACGAGTCCAGTGCAGCAAGTGAAATTGGATTGCGCCTTGTGGTGGGCTGTTGTCGAGCACTGAGAAAACCGTGATTCCTTTGAGTTTTATCCTTTGATAAAAAACAAAAAAATTTGAGTAACCTGCCTTAACCTTAGAGGAGCACACAGAGAAGTGACTTGCTGGCCCACTGGGTGGACACTTTTGCCAGCCGTAGGAGTGCTTTCCATTTATATGGTTCCCCAGTGCACCCCTGTGCGGGATTTCCCAATGTAACTAATTGTTACATTATCCGGAATTATTGTGCCATTGCAAATATGTTTTTATTGTGATGTTCTAGTAAAAACAATCAATTTTAGATGTTAATTAGGAATTGATTTTATTGCCTGACCATTCATTTGCCACTTGTAACTTGTGTGATGTCAGCCCATGTGAGTGGCCTTGGTTAACTGGTTCTTTTGTTTTAGTGTGACACCAACATTTCTCTCAGTTTACCTCCGTCATGACAATGTCTTTGATAGTTTAAATCTCACTCAGATAAATTAGGACTTGCGATTTGCAAGTTGCAACAAGGACTGAGGGCCTGGTGACTTCATATAATTTCTGCTGTGTTTTTATAGAGCAAGCCCCACCTGCTAGTGTGTCTTGCTGCTTCCATACCATCATAACACTACTAACCCCATTTCATTCTGCACTAACTTCAGGTGTCTGCAGTTTGTTGGTTGTATGCTGGCTTCAGTGTTTCATAATATATTTCCCTAAGCTGTGCCCAGGTGGTTTCAGTAGCCTCACATGCCAGTCTTGTCCACAGCTGTACCTTTCACCTCTTTAATATAAATATTAAACTTACCGGGACTAAACGCCTAGTATGAAAATTCTTAATAAAATTTGCAGAAAACAAATAATCACATGACCAAGTAAAGTCAATGTAAACATAGATTTAACAGCAGCAAAAAATAACCTGGAGTTTGAAGAAGATGGTCTCAAGATGCGCAGGTTCAAGCAAGTCTCTAAGACGCTTCTTAAATACATTAATTATGTTCTTAAGAGCGTTGTTGACATAGCCATACTCCGTCTCCAGCAGCTCCTGCAGGCAGCACTGACGCTGGTCCAGCTGATGTCTTCCAGCAGCAGCTTCCTAGAGTTTACATAAAAATCATTGACATGATCAGTTGACTAGTGTCAGTGCCAAAACTATTTTACAATTATTATACATGAATATATATGATGCAACTTGGGATTATGAAGCTCTTCTTGCATGTTACCGGTACAATCTTAGAGGTTCTTATTTGATCATAAGTTGTTTTTAAAATATCAATCACTCAAACTCGGTCAGTAGTTTAAATCTCTGGTAAAAATAAATGAGGCATTCTTCGGATGACTGACTCGCATCTTGATCTCAGCTACTGCAGGATTGTTAGCTTAGAAACAGATTAAATGAATTATATATTTGAATATACCATCAAATTAAGGAAAAAAGCATAGGTATTCTATTTCAATAATTAAATTATTCAGTCATTCCCTATCAGAACCATAGCTCATTATTACAATAACACCCACAGTCCAATATTAGTGCAAAATACCAAAGCTCCAATACATGAATATTAAAGACTCCCCATGAAGATAGCAGAGCATCCTTATTAAGATACCAATGAAAAAAAGAAAAAAAACTATAGCATTCTTAGTGAGATACCATTGCAGAAGACTAATACATCTATAGAAAAAGCATAGCTCTATTCTAGAGATTCAAGAGATCAAACAATAGCTTAAAACTTCATGATAGAAGATGGTGCAAGTGAAATACTTTCTACATGCTTCCCATTACCTTCAAAGCAATTATATTCCAAGAAAGAGAATGATGACAACATTATGCTGGAAAAAATTTGCTTACAATACAATTAAATAAAAAATGCAATGAAAAAATTTGATATTTGAACATAGAGGTCTTGTTGATAGCTGATAGATGGATCTGAATTTGAACAAAACAAGAACAGAATTATTAAGTAATTATTTTTTTTCTCCACAACATAATCCAAATTTGTTGAGGAGCAAACAAATTTTTACACAAAATCCAGCATGAAAACTGATAATTAGTATATTCAAAAGTAAAATCAAATAAAGTTTACTACCTTTGTCTCAACCAGAGAGCTGTAAATCTCCTCGTGTTTCTCAACTTGGTTGGACATATAAAGCTCTGGGTCATCATATAGAGGTTCGTCATCATAGAGATGGTAGACCTCATTGCAGGCTGAATGCAGTTCACCATAAATAAAAGATGTGTTGTAAGTCCCAGCAGGGTGCGTGCTATACATGCTCGAGTAATGCGAGCCCGATTTGGTGTTGCGGTCTCGGAAATCATATACCGGGTCATAGCTACAACAGAAAAAACACCCATGCGCATTATTTACAAAGACATTCAATCTTTTTAATACTTCATTTACTCTAAATTACAATTTAATTTCATGCTAAAGGGACATTGGAAATGTAAAAAATAGGGCAAGATATTGGCAATCTTGTGATTGTCAGTCTGTACTGCAAGAACAATGCACCTCTAAGAATTTTTCCCGAGTTCTAGTATTTTTCAGGATATGGTCATTATCATAAAAAGCAAATTTATTAGGGAATTAGATTTCATGCTTGGTAATCAATGGTTGTTGTGATAATAAAAAAGGTGACTTGAATAACTTCGGATGGTTGCAGAGGAGTCGTCTACAATGCAGACTGACGCTATTACACTTTTTAAAAATGAAATAATTCATGAACCTCAGAAAAATGTTAGTGCCTTTCTCAGAACAGTGGCTTTTCATTATGGAGTTGCACACTAATGGAATACATGAATTCTCTTTAAATTAAAATAGTTAATTTGTAACTATTTAATAACAAAGTGAAATGTAGCCCAAACATTTATTTCAGTAGCCCAATATTCAATAAATAGCCACCAGAGGCAGCATTGAGAAATAATGTAGACAATTTTAATGATGGCCAACAATCAATGCAAAATTTATGTATGGAATGTATTAACCTTTGGCAGACCATAAAAAAATATTTTGTTGTTTTTAAATAGAAATGAGGAACGTGTGGTGGTAGAGAAAAATGAATTCTGGTGATATGACAGCTTGTGAAAATTTTGAAAGCCAAACCAAGATCCACAATAGAGATTCCACCAAACAATACATACACATGACAGAACATATTTCCATGCCGTATAACCTACCTTAGCTGCTGTTAAACGAGACAAAGGAAAGACACCAAAACAAATACCTAGTACATGAACATATGCAACTCTGCTAATAAGACAGTAATAATAGACAACAGTGCAAAACAGAATAAGAAAGTGCAAAACAAACACGTTTCAGTTATGTTAGAAAACATTTATAATAAGGAACAAAAGTGAAGACCACATGCAACCTCCAGCAAGACAAAGTACATGCACGTGTGATGAAGGATCACCTGCAGCTTGAATGTGACGTAACAGAGACTCTGGTAAACTTCATCATCTCTGCGCCTAATGGAATTTCCTGAGCTTCCCCTAATGCTCTGTTGTAAAGCACGCAGTCCACAGTCATCATCTCGACGGATCAATGATGAACAATCTCCATTGATAGAGGAACTTGAGCTATGTCCATTAATGAAAGCATTTGTGTTTCCACAATGGGAGCCTTGGATAGCACTTGCTGTTGACATACCACTGCCTCCACTGTGGTTACGAGGAGCCATGGCCAGCGGAGAGCTGTTGCCATTGCTATGTGAAGAAACTAAATGTCGATGGGCACCTGGGTTGTGGCTACACAACATCCACAACAACAACAACAAGTGAGCAGGATCCAAATGAAAATAACATGGATGAAATACTTCATAAAGACCAAAACGATTCTGATACTTCTACTACCGGTACCTTGTCTGCTGGAAAAACAACATCAAATATATCCAATTTATTTATCAATTAACTAGGTACTAATTGTAAGTTACCGTAGTGAACAGAACACAAAAACAAACAATAGAATTTATACCTACGGTACATGATATGTGATTTTTAGATGTTGTAATGTGATCCATGAGAGTATTTATTACACCTGTACATGGAGGTCTAGATTTGATATAGGAGATAGACTCAGTGGGAGAGATTCACCACCACTTATATGAGAATAAATCATATGGCAATCTGATAGTAGGTAATGGCTATGAGATCTATGGTGTTCATGTAGAGATCTATGGTGTTCATGTGCCTTTGAATATTCATCAATTAAACTATAATCAAGAAGCTACCATAATACTGTGAAGAAAAAGGTTTACATATGATGCATTTGGGATATGTAACTGCAAATATGACAGGCATTACTTACTTGGCAAGGTCCTGCAAGGAGCGGTAAGTGTCATCATGTTCGTCAAGACGCAGAGATGCACACCGGAATCCTCTGAAAAGAGCAAACAAATTATCAGCAATCACTGAATGTACACTTAGATTTATCAACAAAATATACAACACAAAAAAGGTTCTGAAATAACAACTTTCACTAATTAATAATGACAATTAATGGAAATTCAACTTATAATACCGTACCTTAATTCACAGAAATGAGTTCAAAGCATGATCATATAAAAAGACAAATAAAAAATATATGAATTAATGCTGCTTGATTCATAAAAATCGAGCATAAAAATAAAATTCATAAAAATAAAGATGCTCGATTCATAAAAATTAAAGGGATGTTCACTTCATTCACTAAAGTGAACTTTGAAATGAAGGAACATGCCTCTACTACAGAGATGTGATATTTGGAGTGATGGTGGAGTGATATTTACTGAACTCTGTGGAGGTGAAATTAAATGGTGGAAGATGATGGAGTGATATTCACTAAACTCTGTGGAGAATGGAGGTGCAATTATAAATGGTGGAGTGATGTTCACCAAAGTCTAGGAAGTGTCCTTATAAGCAGTGAAGGAGTATTAACTAAAATCTGTGGAGATTCACTCATAAATGATTAAAGGACGTTTGCTTTATCTGTTTAGATGCATTAATAAATAGGGAAAACATTTTTACTAAACTTTGAAGAAGTGCACAAATAAACTACAAAAGAATGTTTTTCTTACTGCAGAGAAGTGCATAAATCAACAATGGAGGAGATTGCATCCTACATAATAAAAATGCATTTATAAACATAACTAAAAAATTTAATGTACCATAAATCAGAGCACTTCATAAGCAATAGAAGCATTGTATCTCCACTCTGCGGGGAACTAAATTCATAAACAAAGAAGAGATACTCACTCAACACCAGGGAAGCGCTCAGAAACTTTAGAGGACAAACTGAGTTTGGAGAGGCATTGCAGTACCTGAAATAAAATAGTTATTATAACCACATCAACTAAATTTACTTGGATTGGAACATCAAAAATGCAATAATCATATCAAAACACTGACAGATTGGGAAACTTAGTAATTTTTTAACATGCTCTAGTGTGTTTCAATCACACGTTGTTACCATATTGATAGAAAAATGTTATCTATTAAAATGATTACCGTATTTGATTGGCATCTGCTGTCACAATTGTACCTTGACATGCCATCTGGCAATGCCAAATAATCCACATTGGCATACTAGTACATTGGGATGAATGATTACTTGATTCTATCATTCCTAATGCTCTAGAAAAACCCAAAGTACTTCTACTTATATGGTATAAGATATAGCATATAGTATAAGATAATAAGAGCTTTGTTTACCATTAGTCAATTACCTTGCCAAAATCAGTAAATCCAAACAGATTTTCAAATGTGAAAAGGTCAGCTTCTCTGAGTCCATAGTGCTCATGACAGGAAGCAAGGAACCTCTTGATGTTCTTGTTGCACAAGCACTGCAAAAAATAAATAAAAATAGGAATTAAATAATTGACTTGAATATCCTTTTTTCCCAACACGTGATTACACCCATGCTAAATTACCACCTGGCACATATACCTACTACTATCAATGATCAAGTGGCCAGTGGCCACTGGGTAGATATCCACAACATTCAACAATCTACTTGATAATAAACACTATAATTTCAATTCTAGTTAATGGTCAGAATTTCACTATGATAGGATTCATTATAATATAATTACACAGATGTTTCAGGGCTGAGCAAAAATACAAGAAATCAATGATGTGAATCACAAAAAAACTGTAAATGGCAGACTGACTAATTTAATCTTGACCCATGGTAGGCATCTTTTGTTTCTCTCATTTATGCTGTCCCAACTGGGCCAACCACCAATTACATCTTGTTTATCATGTTGCATTTTTTACTTGCATAGCTGTGTTTCATTGAGTTCCCAGCAGTTAAAAAATTTGTATAGCTTGCATAAAGTTGTCTACCTTTTATGAATGTTATTCTTTCATTTAGTCCTTCATTTTCATAGCTTTTCATTGGCAAAATTTTGGATATGCTACTGTCACTGACATGCTGCATAAATTTTTTAACACTGAATAGTGAATACAGATAATTTTTTTTCACTGGGAATGCAAGATGGCAAATGATATGATAATGAGCCACAAGAATGGCCGATTCTTGGCCTGCTGTGCTGTTTGCAACTAAAGATGGGAAAATTCCTCCATATTCTTGGAATCTTGTGGCGGCTCCAAAATGATAATTTTTAATAATTTTGGAATCTTGTAGCCTGATTGTACACTTCTGTTACAGTAAGATTATGAGATACAAGGGTACTACTTAGTGTACCTACACAATTAATCATGGTGAAATAGCCTATGTGCCTACTTTTTTTCAACAACCACAAGTAATAATTAAGTTTACACCTCTCAATTGGTCAACATCTGATACAAAATAATTACTGTAAAATGGGGTTACTTTGACCGGCGGGGTAACTTTGACCACTTTTCGTTTTTTTAACAAAAAACCCCAAAAATGTGACCCACGAAAAAGAGCTATTATTTAAAGCCTGTCAGAGTACCCCCTCCAATTTTTTTATTTTTTGGTAAAATAACTCCAGGTTTTGATGCATTGTAGTAGAACTCTTCTAGTTACCTATGCAAAAGACAAATTTTAGGAAAGTGTCATAGTTTGAAAATGGGGAGCGCCGCCCCCCAATGGGGTAACTTTGACCACCTGATGGCAGCCGTGACGGGATAACATTGACCGGCTTGGAAATTAAGCTGAAATTACCATAGGTACCTATGTAACATATTTTATGTTTGATACACCTATTAATGTTTTTTTCTTTATGTTTCAGACTCTACAGAGTCTTATATATGGTAATTTTGAATTAATTTCCAAACCGGTCAATGTTACCCCATCACAGCTGCCAGTAGGTGGTCACAACCGCACATTGGGGAGCGGCGCCCCCATTTGCAAACTATGACACTTTCCTAAAATCTGTCTTTTGCATATGTAACTAGAAGAGTTCTACTACAATGCACCACAACCTGGAGTTATTTGGAGTTATTTTACCAAAAAAATAAAATTGATTTTACCACCCGGTCAAAGAAACCCCAAGAGCTGGGGTAACAAAGACCATCACTTTATGATGAGTAAAGCTAGAGTATAGACCTGTATTTTGCACGTTTCAATTTAAGTTTAACTTATCTACTAAAAAAATGGCATCGTTTTGAAAATAAAAAGTGGTCAAAGTTACCCCATTTTATGGTACATGAATATCATTGGAATGCAAAAATTCATCTCTATCAAGTACCGTAAAATGGGGTAACTTAGACCACTTTTAGTTTTTTTAACAAAAACCCCCAAAACTCAAAAACTATTTGATATAGAAAAATTTCGTCAATAGTAATTAAAAGCCTAATACTGAGGCTACATAACACAATAGAAAGATTTAAAGTTTGCATATCTACTAGGTTAAAAAATTTAAAAATGTGACCCACAAAAAAAAGTTATTATTTAAAGCCTGTCAGAGTAGGTACCCCCTCAAATTTTTTTATTTTTTGGTTAAATAACTCCAGGTTTTGATGAATTGTAGCAGAACTCTTCTAGTTACATATACTGTGTCTGTGATGATATGCAAATGACAAATTTCAGGAAAGTGTCATAGTTTGCAAATGGGAGGTGCCACCCCCAAATGGGGGAACTTAGACCCACTATGCAGAGGGTGGATGCAGCGTCGCCAATATATGGATTTTTAAGCCCCAAGCGTCGCCGGCCATTTTAAAGATGCGTCGCCGGGTAATTTTTAATGAAAAGCCATTTACGCTGAGTAATGACGAACTATTTACAAGCCACGAACTTA